CTGACGATTTGCAAGTCGGCAAGTTCTTTTTTTTGATGTGACAGCATTTTTTGAAACGTTTGTCCGAAGTTTTGTCTTTGAGGCAATGGACTATTCCATACAGGAAGGACTGAAGCAATCAATTCGGGATCAGGCCATCAGGATTGCTCTTGAATATTATTCCTGACGCTCAAACGAAACAATGAATAGGATTTATTCCAACTTCAAACACTTTAAGGACTATTGAGAACGTGCAGCTACTGAGCAATGCCTCGCCACATAAACAAAACAAGACAAAATGATTGATCCATATAAGGACGTAGTTTGGAACATGTGTGAAAATCCAAAACGTTCTGTCTATGCAGCGAACAACAAATCTGTTTCGTGTACCTCCTTATATTGCTCTCGGTCTTGCCATTTTCTTCCGGCACTATACCATTTTCAAAGTGATTGGCAATATGTTTTACTTCTGCCACAAGGTTTGATACTGGATAAGTATAGATCAGACACGAAATTTCGAAACGGAGGCTCCGTTTGGATATTCGGATTGAATTCTCGCCACAACCACCTGATCCGAGCTTGTTGTCTGCAACAACTGTGTATTATGACAGTATTCAAATAACTCATGAAAATGAAAATTTACCTCTGCACTGCTTCAGTAATGTTTTGCTGCACTTTGATTACATAGGAATGAGCAAAGTTCTAATATTATCTTAAAATGGCCGAGTTGCATGAGCTTTTAATATTTTCCCTTTAAAAGCATATCCTCCTGCTTACAACCAAAACACTGAGAGGCAAATGGGAACCTTTTTGTATTTTGGCCAGAAGGAATTTTGTACAGACCAGTTACATTTGTACAATGTTACTTGTGTTCTCTTACAGAGTACTGAAATGTTTACCCTGAAACAAGTTCTGATGATATAATCCTCTTCATAGAGTAACTGATAGACAAACAATTCTATTTTACATTTCTCCCTAAGTGTAGCAAGATACCAATTTGTTACCCTTGAAGAGTTGAGGCTACATACAATAACCATATACAAGATATATAAGGCTTGACCAACCACCTGCTTGGCTTGCATTAATATTAAGTATAAATTCTATTATATAGTATGCTTTGACAGAATGCCTGAGATTTAGGATTGGAAAGAGTTTATTTTCTTAATACATTACTCTATCTTAACTTGACTTTAGTATTTTTCTTTCAGGTGGTCTGCTTTGAGAATATATGAGCAAGCAGTATTTATCCTTGGATAATAATATTATCTATCATAGTAAGTCCCTGTTAATAGTTATTGAAGTGAATGTAGAGATAAAATACTACTGTTAGGGTCTGAAACAAGATTAAGATGACAAGATTATCACCTTTAACTTCAATCTTTATTTAGAATTCGGAATTAGTAGTGCCTTGGCTAAATAGCTCTAACAAAAGTACAGTTTCCATTTAATGCTTGTACTATAAAGCATTATAAATATATGTTGATCTCTGAAACCATAATTCACACAGAAGTTATTTATCTTTACTCAATAACAATATTTATTATACCATTCATTCTTTTATTCATTCTTTTCATTTTAACCATTCTGGATATGTCTATTGTTGTCTAGTTACTCCTAGTATTTATCATTTACCTTATTTAATTATCAGCGATTGTTCATGCCTTTGACCAATGTCCGGCTTGATGCCAGTATTGGTTGTCAGTTGCAATATGGAGACGCCGATGCTCGACACCATATGGGTCTACAAATGTCATAGCCTTGCTATCTTTATCAAAGAACTTCACAGTAAGGCGCTCGAACTGATCCGGATCGTTTGGGTCCTGTGGTGCGTGATGTGATCCGCTAGAATTTCCAACTTGGTAAGTATAGGCTCGGCTCACAAACAATTTTTGCGTCTACCTACCTTACTTCTGCCCATTCGGCGCCAAGGTCGTCAAGTCCAACTTCCTTCGCATAAGCAAAGACATTTCCGACCATAGCCTTCCTCATATCCTTGTCCTTCTTGTATGTGTGAGGAGGCCTGAACTTGACAGAGGAGATGTCACGTCTCTGTATGGTGGAGCCGAAGGCTTTTACTGACTTCAGTGCTGCTCTTGAACCTGACATTGTCAAATGTATTCACTTTCTTGTGTTATAATTTCTCGGCTGGTGTTTGCTTGTGGTGTTGTCTAGCTGACGAGCTGATCCTGACATTTCAACGACTTTTATACCCTTCTCGTTTCTCAATCCTCGCTGGTCTTTACTGCAAACAAGGTATTCGTTTGTTTGCAGTGTCAAACAGGACCTGATGAAGTCATCTAAAGATAACCTGCTACATCAATAGATCTAACGAATGATTCGTTGCTTCAGTGAATTTCCACAGAACATATGTCTATATCATTCTCGAGGCAATGCACTATTCTACTCAAAGAGGACTGAAACAAATATTTCAAGTCCATAATGCAAGAGAGTGTGGCTAAACACCAACATATGTGCAAATATCTTACAATTGATCTGTACATGCGCCAGTCTCGGTACGTGAGCTTGGTATCGAGTCATATTTTGAATGCAAACAGAGATATTTTTAACCCAGACTATCTTGTCATCAATCTTTCCTATCGCGATCGCTGAACATTTTCATACGGAAAATGTACGGATTAGTATTAGCACAAACTTTTCAGAGGTATAATTTTGGAATATACAAGCGAATCGCAACATTAAATCCGCATGGAGTATCAAGCCAGTTTGTTCGCCACGGGCGCTCGAATATCCTCTTTTGCTTGGGCATTGGCTAATTCACCCTAGAGCGTTCATAGCAAGTGATTTACTCCGGAAATACGTTTCACCAATGTTTCAGTGTGCGTTGCGATCAAATGGCCCTACACAAAGTGCTAATGTTTTCTGGAAAACCCAGACTGAGCGAGCTTTCAAGTATCGTCTATTACATTAAAGTCTCTCCTAGGAAGACGAAAAACATGGAGAACCAAGTAAAGCCCCATTCCACCCTTAGTGATCAATATAATAAGAGACGACTTGTTAAAGGTTGGTACAGGTTTGTGGAGCCATAAAAAATAAAAAATGTTCTCGAGCAGATGGTAAAGACATTTGCGTCCGCGGATGTCGCTCTGTACTGCATGATAAATTCCGATCAACAGTTCTGTTTCAAATTCCTCGTCCATAATCTACACTAACAATGAAAAACGGATAATGGAAACATATAAATAGTACTTTAATCAAGTTTCAGATCCCACTATCATAGCGCCCTTGATTTTGAAATAAAAATTCTTGGCAAGCAAGATAATCTAGTGCTTAGTATGATGGAAATGTTTTTCCAAATTCCAAAGCATGAAACATTTAGCGTTGTTCGACTTGTCCAAATATGGAAACCTCCAGTAAAGAACAAAGGAAACCTAACGATACACTCGAAAAAAAGACACAGCACAAGACAACGTGGAGTAATACGAATAGAGAGGACTTCCGTGGTATGGTAAAGAAGATTATGAGATGTGCAAGCAGACCGGACAGAATAAGTATGAAAGTCAGAAGGACGACTATTGTTTTGCATCAACGTCAACATCACGCAACCCCGCCCAGGCATTCGAGTTGAACACGTCGAGGTCCAGACCCTCAAGTATATTGAATCCGGATGCAGATGCAGAGTTTGCTGATGCTTCGGCTGGTGTAGGCCAAAAGGGTAAGGAGGAAAGTACCCCTTCGGAGGTGGAGTCGATTGACGTGTCTGCGAGTTCTGCGAGTTGCGCGGCTAGGAGTGCTAGACTTCCTTGAAGAGCTGCACGACTTGAGAATGCATCCAATGCTGTACAAGGGACAGTGGCATCTAGAACTTGAGATAATCCTCGTGCGGTTGAGGTTGCACTAGCTACACCTGTAGCAGGCGACGCAGAATGTTCTGCAACAGAACCGCTAACAGTTGCGATATTGGCAGGGCCAACCGATTTCCCCGCCAACGAGCTTCCTGTATTAGTATCGGTAGACGTAGCCCTGACCACGACTGAAGCATTCGCTGTCTCGTTCTCTACTTTCGATGAGTTATATGCAGATGTGACGTTCAAGGCCTGCAGAATACTGTATGCAGCCTCCATACAGCTGCGATGGCTCTCTTGATCAGTATCACCCTGAGCTACAATGCCATTAGGTGCCGACTCAAGCTCTGGCGGTAATGTCGCAGATGGCGGTGGAGGGTGCGGTGGAAGGACGGCAGATGACGGTGTCGTTGGTGCTGGTGACTGACTCTGCGATTGAGATGTTCCGGTTCGACCTCCTCCGTAAGTCCATGTATAGTGCTGTGGTGGGTATTGTGAAGTGTTTGTCGGTGGATGTGAGGATGGACTTGGGTTCGTGACAGCCTTGGAATAACTCTGCGGCCTTCGCGTCGTCCGTCTCGATGTCTATATATGCGTTCGCATTAGTAAACAAAGAAGAGAAAATATCAGAACATATTTGAAAACTAACATTTCCACCTTCCCAACGGGCGTTCAGCCTATATTTACCGTCCTTACTCTTCTCAAATCTCCCACGCTTGTATGCTTTCTGAAGTGCCTGACTTGCACTCGGTCGGAAATTCGCCTGGAGTGGGTACGTAGCCGCCATCCATTGGAACAACTGTTTCGGTGCAGTACCCTCCGGATCGTTATGAACAGTCAATGCTTGGACAAGCATCTCTTCATATGATGGTAGATCATCGTCGTCTTCTGGCATTGGAATCGATCCCGGGGGCGGAGGAACTCGTGGAGGGGGAGCGGAAGAGTATGGCGCGGAACCGGTAGACGGAGAGTAGAAGGAGTATGGTTGGTGGTTTACGGGATGATGGTACGCATACGAACCACTCGCATACGGATAGGTGTAGGTGTAAGAGGACGAAGCTGCTTGGTAGGTCGTCGTCGAAGTAGCAGGCGAAGCATGAGGGACAGTTGGAGTTAAGGAAGGTACACTCGACGACAGAGGGGCAGGAGTTGGAGAAGCAGCTGATGTCGGGAAAGGCGAACACGACGCTGATACGGTTAATTGAGCCTGCGCATTTGAATCGGACCCCACAGTCGAACCTTCGGTGCCCTTCTTTGCGTCTTGCGCAGCGGATGCCTCCAGTGACTTCAACACATCATGTGCATTGCCCTTGCCAGACGACTGCATGATCTTTGCGACAGCGGCATGAAATACAGCAGCCTTGAGGTCCGTCGGCCATACGTCTTTTCTCACATTCTGTGGGACGTGTTCATCGAGCTTCATCACAATCTCAATGACTTGCTCAGTCGGCAACAGCGTCAGCCATGTCTTCTTGAGCGTGTTCTCGTCATCAAGCACTCTGGTGTTCTCAACAGTTGTACATGCAGCACTTGAGGTATTAATTGCTCCTAATTAACAAAAGTTAGTGTTTATATAGCTTTTGTCTATGTATCTATATTGACAGACCCTCAACATTGTTGCTCTGCCCATGAATGGGTGGGTCGTTGGAATGCGAGAGCATCGCGAATTTTGAGGTACAGACTTTGGTCACCTCCTGCTGCACAGTTTTTCGCGTCTATGGGAATGCTGCAACTGTCTGTCACAAATTCGTCACGGTCACTCACATATCAACGGCCTCAAGTTTGTATCAAACTAACTGGAACAACACTCGCTTTATAAACTCATTTGCTTCGTTGCCTTTTCGATCTCACCATGTCCGGAACCCAAGCGCCGAACGGATATGTTGTGGCCCAGTCCATCAGAATGGGCGCTAGAACTGGGTCTCATATCTAAGACACGCACTGCATCTACATCTACAAGTACAGCGCATGAACTGCGGGATAATTTTAATCTACTCAGCTAAGCTCTTATCAGAACCGTACTCACGTTCCTAGCGCCTCGCACCTTTGACATAATACTCGTGCCACTGTAAGCTGTCTGCATCAAGGGCATGGCCTGTGCGAGGCAGTCTTGGTGATATTTAGACGCCCATCTAGCGTCATAGACACTCAGAAGCATATAAATCCCAAGCGATTTGCTTACTTGCTCTTACACACCTTGCCTCTTCACATCTCAGTGCCTCATACTATTGTTTCCCCTTGGTGTTACTTCCGCCTTGACATGGCAGAGAAAGACGACTTCCCAATATTCATCAGTCCTGGCGAAGAGGATGCCGCAGAGTGGGTCAAAAAGGTCGACAAGCATTTCGAAGAAGAAGCAATCCCGGACGAGGAGCACCTTCAGTTTGCACTTGATAACCTTTCTGAAAAAGTAAATGCTTGTATCATGAGGTCGGAATTGACCCGGATTCTCGAAAGCATAAGCAAGACCTGGGTATGGACTTGGCCAAAGTTGCGTGTCGCATTAACGGAAATCGACAGTACGTACAATTGCATAAAGCACAATCGAAATATTAAAGTATGTTTTTTAATTCAGCACAAGTCAAACAGACAGGACTCTGTTCGTATAACACTTGTTTCTGTATTCGTTACAACGTTTTGAATTATTCCCCTCCAACCTCAGCCAAAGCAAACATAGCTGCAAAAGTTGTGACCGTCGCTGTAGTCACTGGAGTTTCGTGTGTTGCCGGCCCAGCAATACTAACGGCAGGTCTTGGCGCAATTGGCTTTTCGGCCGCTGGCCCTGTTGCAGGTGCATTGCTCTTTCTACTCTCTCAATCTCAGACACTGAAAATATGAAAATATTATTCCAAAGGATCGATTGCTGCTGGAATACAATCTTCGGTATATGGTGGTGCTGTCGGAGCAGGATCATTATTTGCGTTCTGTCAATCACTGACAATGGGAGGTGGAGCAGCAATGGCACTTGCTACAGGGATCTCTGGCGCGAGCGGTGCTGCAGCCGGGATAATAAGTGAGATTGCCAAACGACCATCTTCAAAGTCATGGGACGATGCCAAGGACTTTAAGCCTTCTGTGACAGTCATAAAGGCACTGTTGCGCTTCGATGACCAGAAGTAAAGGTGAGTATGTGACGAGTTCCTTATGAGTTGCTTCTGTTTGCTCAAATGATATCATGTATCTCTAGAGAATGGCACCTACTTTGTGCTTGTACTCAGTCCGGAATGTCTGCAAATGTATTGCTTGTTCAACTAGTGTCTTCTTTTTGTGTACAGAATTATCCTTGCTTTTGTTGCCTAACAGATTGCTGTTATTGGGCTTGGGCGTCAATAGCCACGTGCATCGTGGATGAGGATCCGACACACACCGCAGGTTCTGCGCCTCACGGAGCAATTCTTCTTTAATCCAACTCTATTGGTCGCTTCGTGCTGCTGGGAACAACCATTCCTGACTGATGCCTTGACATTACTCAAAAGTGATTCGCCACTGCCCAAAGGAATTATCTCTGTGAGGCAAAACTTTAGCTAGGATCAGTGCGAACAATGTCAGTGTCCGGCGCTTAAACTGTGAGCAAATTGCCTCGTGGCCTTAAGATGCGTAAGTATAACACTGTATGGTATTGAATTACTGCATACAATAAGGTTATGTCCACACATTGCTGATCTTGACTTGTGTCCATGACACATGTTCGATACGATATTTGGAGACAGATACTGTATATAAAGAGGCAACAAGTCGTGCTTGCCTCTGTCTTGTCTTTGACTGCCTCGCCAACCATTACCATTACTGTGGCAAGAATGTCCTTCCTTGCATGGTTAGGCTTTTCATCAAAGGGTCCTGTTGCAGGTAAACGACTTTTACATCTATTTTTTGTTGACGACTTCAACTCAGATTCGCTTAGGCTCGATTGCTGCAAAAGTCCAGTCAATAATCTATGGAAGCAAAGTTCCGGCAAGAAGCCTTTTTGCAGTATTCCAGTCATGTGCTATGGCTGGCACTAAAGTAAAGGCAGTGGTAGTGAAAGCAACATGGTTGGGTTGCCTTATAATCGGTGCAGTAATGTTAATAAGGATGGCATGGCAGCAACCAAAGCTATGAGCAGTCGGGTTTGAGAAGGTTTGTCACTTTCGCCAAACTGAAGAAAGAGTTTGCTGACAATTTCTACAATATTAAGCGATCTAGATAATAAAGAGACCCGAGGTACTATTGATTCAACCTACATACGTATGTTGTGGTTTCTAATATTATCTCATAAAGCGACTATGTAAACTGCTGTAGTCTTGTCAAACCTGCAAACTACACCATATTAGCTACCCAATGTAAATGCACGCTTTCTGAAATCGTAAGACTTTTAAAACGGGTAGTCCCGAGATTCAATGACGTTGTGGCGGACCGGCTACCATTGTCTACCAAATACGTGTACGATGTAACTCGATCTTGATATTATACAGCCTGATCTGCAGGGCAAAGATGAAGCACTGCTTCCCGGTGTCCAGTACATCAGCACTGTGTCGCTTGTCGTATACTTAGCGAGAATCATAAACGCAAAAATCTACCTGTATCAGACTAAGAAAGAGCAATGAAAAGGGGGAACGACGAAAAAGGCAATCGTCAAAGGAATGAAATCAAGAAAGCTGAGTCAGCTCCACGTGCTCGCCATGCTAAGGTTTACGCTCAAGCTCCCTGACTCTCTTTCTCTCTCATCTTTGCACAGCACCTCTGACTCTGGAAAGACGACCTGAACCTTAACTTTTGGAGCATATCATGGAGGGGAACAAAGGACACCGCAAAAAGACAAGCACTACAGGAGAGCGGGACCGGTCCGAACGATGAGCATGGATGAAGAAGGGGTATCACCTGGCAAGCCCGAGCTGTGTTAAGTCTTACTGATTGTGCACTAGTAAATAAACGATAAACATCATTGAGTTGAGGATATGATTTTGAGCTGGTTTTGATCTGATTCTCGACGGGCGATGCGGAGGGATAGGAATGAACTGACGGTCAGCTCGGACAATGGATAGTCCAACGTCGAAGAAAACGAGTTGATATCGGTTTTTGTGCACATTTTAGTGGAACCCAAATCACGAGCTCCTTTGTGCGGCATACCGGAACGAAGCGATACTTGGGGTCGTGTAGCATCACCTACCTGGTCCACAAAAGGATTGCAACGACTTGCGAGCCTCGTGCCCTACCCGATTTGGTAAATTTAGACGGATTCGCTTCTCAAAAGACTTCACAAAGGACTCGTTCGTTGCACCACATGTTCCGTCCTGCTCCTCCCCAATCCTCCCTTTTTGTGCGCATATAGGGTATATAAAAGACAGTAAGATGTTTGCGATATTCTGCCTCCCTCCTCCTTTTCTCCCCGTTCGCGAACATTGCTTGGACATCGCACCTTCCTGGTAATTTCCTAGCGCCGTGATGGATTCCTCCAACTCGTCTTCGAGAAACGCGTACGATATTTTCAACTCTGCTGAGCAGACTCAATGCGATATGATGATGCTCGTCAACGCACTTGATACGGATCGTGATGCTATCGATTTTCTTGATTTCGGTTCGTTATGTCTACCTCACACGACCGGCTTTGACGCTGCCGACGCGACCGGATTTTCATTTGGCTCGCAGAGCGACTCGTGAGTTAGCTTTAAACTTGGCTGTCTGTTCCTCCAACATTTGGACTAACTGAATCGATAGCAATCCGAGTCTCGGCATTGGAGATCATGAACTTGATGCGCAATTCATTCAGCCGGAGACATCTTCACTATACCAGATCGGAGTTCCACAGGCAGTTGCTCCTATGGATATCCTTAACAGCGCACCACAACTTGAAGCAAAGACACCCCTTTCTTTCCTTTCGCCATTTTCCACAGCAGGATCCTCGCCGTTCTTGGGGGTGGGTAATCCTTCAAACACCATTCTCGGTGCGAATAACAGTACTCGTGTCGATGATTCAAGCAATGCTCTGGGGCTGTTCGAATGTCCGCGTATGTTCGACGCGTCGGCGCACTCATCATCTTTCGTCTTTTCCGATGCGCTGGCCGCTGGACCTGAGGGATGCTTCGCTCCCACTCCACTGTTCTCGTCCGAGAAACTGCCCTCGTTCTCTCCGTTCCTTGGTGACAATGAACATCTCGCCATCGGAGCCGGTCTCCCATCGCCTCGTGCAGATTGCATGGTCCTCGACAGTCCGATTAACTCTGGACCATCATCCGAGTGCTCTCCCGTTCCAGAGCCCGACCATCGAGCTGAACACCCTTCGGGACCAGATACCATAGCCCCAGAGTGTCTGTATCCTTCTCCATCGCCGACACCGGAGAGAGCTACAGTTCCTCTTCCTCGCAGAAAGACTCGGAAGGCCACGCGGAAGCACCGTCCTTCTCGCGCAGCCGCGCGTCAGCCCAAGTCATATCGCGAACTCAGTCTCAGTCCGCTCTTGGAGCCTCGCCAGTCATCCAATTCACCCACAGGCTCTCCAAGCACTTCCCCGGCTATTTTGGCGCACGGTCTCCCAGCTTACACCCGCATATGGGTCCGTCAGGATGGCAAAGATGTCGAAAAGTGGAAATGTGCAGCTTGTGGTCAACTCACAGGTCGTAAACCCGATATGAACAGACACCTCAAGACGTGTGTGTCAGGCGAGAAGTTTTATTGTCGAGACGTAATTCGTAAGCATCGTACCTAGTTCTTCGCGGATCACCTTTAACTCACGACGCACTTGTTTTACTGACACAATGCAGACGCCGACGGTACTATCTGGCCTGGCTGTAAACAGAAATTCTCCCGTCGGGATGCGTGCCATCGTCATCTCAGGAAGCGCCTCATCCTGGGACGCTGTGTCCATAAGAAACCTGACCAGACGCGTTCTCGCAGCGAAGACGACTATCTTGCCCGCCTCATGCTGTTTCAGGATGGCGAAGACAATGCATACTGGCGCGCGAGGTTGCCTGCAGAAGAGAAGAATCGGCTTTCGAAGATAGCGCTATCTGATATCCAGCAGAAGATGTTCCGTTGAAAACCGCGATCGTGATCGTGCTAAACTGCTGCTCTGAAACTGCTTTATGAATGTTACAAAATTTGAGCTTTCTATTCCTATTCCTTTCCCGTCTCCTGCTTTTTCTTTATCCTCCTGTTTTGCGTTTTCATTTCATCGACTGACACTCCTATTAGCTCCATTACTTTATTTCTATCTAGCAAACCGTTTGAACCATCTGATTCATCCTGTTAATGCTCTATGCCACATTTGCTTTGGACGATTCCATTTTCATAACCATTTTACGTTTTGCCAATGTGATTCCAATATACGCCTTTTCAACTTCCCTTTGTTCCCTTCTCGAACTCAACAAACTGATCTACTATTGCTGACCAATTTTCAGATGCTATAAACCATGTATTCTTTATTCTCCCGATTTGCAACACAGTGGTCATGTTATCTAACATACAGGACTCAGAAAATTACTAGTTCTGAAGAACATCAATGCCAGTGTATCACTATGCGACACAAGGAACACTCATTTCCCTAGTACTAGATCGTTGGACTATGGTACCCCAATGTGCATTCTACCCAATTAGGTTGCAACCCATTTCCGTTCATTGCCATTCTAATTTCTAGTAGTCATGCCTTTTTCAGAATTAAGTGCTTCCTATTGCTTCCTGTGAGGATTTCGGACAGTGACTCGAACATGACATGCATGATGAGTATACCAAGCCAAGTAGGGTGGATATTAGTAGAAAACTTACATGAAACTCTATTATCACTTATTTTATATATATACATAATGATATGTTCAGCCTTTGTGCAGGATTTGAGTAGGCTGGGGATACAGTGTGCCAGAATTTTCGAGAAAGTTACATTATAAGCATTCTTCCCATTTTAGCAACATATCCCTAGCCGCAGTAATAGACCTTACTAGTTTAGGGATATCATCTTGTTTACAGTATTCAGCAATGAACACTCTTCCCTTTTTGCCGGGGATTTGGACACTGCTATCAGTGTATGGTGTAGGGTGAATTTGGTTATATATTAGCGGACAATTCCAGGAACTTCCTTATATCATTAAAATTTGACAATTATTCCGTTTTTCGTGTAACTGCAGGCAGAGTCTGAATTTGATCAGAGTAAGGCATCATACACCACATAAAGAATACTGAGAGCATTACGTGATCTAAATCCATTTATTCTTGTCATTGCGTCTCAAACGTCCTCATCATCAAACTATATTTACAGCTTCGACATGTTCTTATCTTGTCCAGCATGATGGATAAGCACTCACCTTCTGCCCTTTACCCTGATACCTAACACTGTACCAAGGTCTCAAGCCAAGGATCCAGTGCCCAGTACAGAGACTGTTCACTGTGTTGAGCTGCAACAGTTAACTACAACAATAGTTGATTAGGTCAGCTTCTTTATCCTTGGACTCTAACAGTAGAAGACGACTGTTGACAGCAAGTAAGGTGAAGAGTCGACGCAGATGCGTGGTTTCAGGACACTTGAAGAAACGAATAAGGAGCTCGCTAACAGGTTTAGGAATGTTAGTCACCAGCTAGAGAACCTCGCGACATCATCTACTGGGCTGCAGCCTGATACAGATGTAGAGAAAAACGGGCCACCTGCAGTGGACGTATTTCGAGAGCGGAATTTGTTCGAAGAAAGGCTGAAGCTGAAGAGTCAACTTTCTAACAAACAGGAAGGCATTGAGACCGAGAGATGGGTTAACTTGGTCCATATAGGCGCATGATGAACTATTGGGAGCGTTGAGATGTGTCCTATTTATCGTGTTGGATGTGGATACAGCGACTGTTGTATACGTTGTATGTGAATAATGTATGCGAGATCGCAGTACGTCATTTTGTGAAGGAAGACACTTGACAACCTCAAGGCTCCGACGTAAACAATAGTCAACAAAATGGTGCCGATTTAGGCAGGTCTTTCTCATAGCACCATGAGACAGAGATTTACATATTTGACTCTTGATCTGACAACCAATCGAAATTTAGCACTGTGCGTAGAGCCGCAATAAATCCGCGCCAAAGAATGTAAGTGAATTAGACTCAACGCTTCCATTTCATGTTTAGCTTGATTTCGTCTATTGAACGCCTTTTCAGGGGAAGCTGGCCAAGTCAAACGCGACCATGTGTCAGCTTTACACACACACCATCCCACTCACAATAGTAACAGGTGCCCATCTTACTCAAGTATTACCGAAATACGCTTTTTTTGTGGGAAACACGGGATGATACTGGTAATCGAAGTCTCCAGAGCTCATGTGGCAGAACTCACTTTCATGGGATGAATTAAAGTTTCCCCACGGCCGCTCGGCCTACGGCAGCATTCCATCGTATAAAGCAGTATAAGCTTTCTTTTCCCTTGATCGTTTGCACGCGGCTCCTTCTTTTCATCATTGCGAAGACATGGCAAACCCGGAGCTCCAATTCGCTTCCTCCTGGATATCAGCATTCGGCGAAGCTATCAGTCAAGCAAATATTGATGCCGTACTTAACTGCCTTGATCCGTCTTGCTGGTTCCGTGATTTGTTGGTATTCAACCCGAGCCTTGAGACTCGTCATGGACACGACGCTATCCGTGCTCATTTGCAGCCTGTGCTCGGCCAGGCGAAAGTCTTGAATGTCGTCCTGGATACAAACCCTCATGGACGACCCCAGGAAGCTCATTTTGGTCCAGAAACGCCTATCATTACAACTGCGTTCGATTTCGAAACGCCTAGAGCACTCGGAAAGGGCTTCACACGTCTATACTATCCAAAAAATGGCGAGACTCCAAAGGCTCTTGCTGTTATGATGATGGTAAACGATTGGAAAGGTCATGAAGAAGCAGGAAACGAGTCCGGGGTGTATGATGGGCACAATCTGTCATGGGGCGAGGTGTATAGGCAACGGCGTGAGGAGGTTGAGAATGACCCTCAGGTCGTCGTTGGTACGTCGGGCTACGTTCTATTACAGATCTATCTTCACGAATGGATCAGTTGGTGGAGCTCAGTCGGGCCTTCAAGTCGCCGCCCGTTTTCGTCAGATGGGCATCCGAACTCTTGTCATCGAACAGACTGCTCGCGTCGGCGATGTCTGGCGGAACAGGTATCCAACGCTTGCGCTGCATACTCCACGTTCACACCACAATCGTGAGAATATTCTTTTACACTGCAAAATCACATCATAATGGCCGAAATGCTTAGTTTTGTATCAACCGTATCCATCAAATTGGCCAACGTTCACGCCACGAGACAAGCTAGCTAACTGGTTCGAACAATACGTAGATAATCAGAATCTCATTGTTTGGACATCTACAACTCTCGAACCAACACCTAAATACGATTTCGATAGGAAACGCTGGACTATCACCGTCAGCCGCAATGGCAAGCCCCTTACACTTCACCCACAGCATCTTGTCATGGCCATTAGTGTGTACGGAGATCCAATTATCCCGTCTCTTCCGGGGGTTTCCTCTTTTAAAGGCACGATCCTCCATTCCAGCGCATTTTCCGGCGGTGAGCCCTTCAAGGGACAACGTGTAGTTGTTCTCGGAGCAGGAAACACGTCTGCAGATGTCTGCCAGGACCTAGTCTTTCGTGGGGCGCAGAGCGTAACGATGGTCCAGCGCTCCGCAACTGCAGTCGTCTCAGACACGTATCTCGCTGCGTCATTCGGTTTGGCATTTCCCGAAGGCCGTCCTGTGTACTATTCAGATCTTGCATTTGCTGGGATACCGCTCGGTGCGATGCGCGAATTGGGAAAGAAATTGCAGTCTTTTGCAGAGGAATTTGACAAGGAGATGCATGAAGGGCTGACTAAAGCTGGGTTCAAATTGACATCTGGACCGGATGGTGCAGGACAATTAGTTATGGTATTCGATCGACAAGGCGGTGAGCATATTTTGCATTCGCGCCGAACCAGTTGTTAATGTATCACCCGGTAGGATATTGTAAGCCACCCGCCGAACAGTTACGGACTTAATATTCTAACGCATAATTCCGGAAGTCATTGATGTAGGCTGTGCAGCGCTCATTATCAATGGGAAAGTCAAAATCAGACAGGGCGTCGAGATTGATCATCTGAGCGAGAAGAGCGTCGTGTTCAACGATGGTTCCAAGCTAGATGCAGATGCAATCATTTTGGCGTACGTACCCTCAGTTCTCTCACACTTATGCCATGCCTATATCTATCTATGTCCTGCTTAATTGAACGGTGTCTCATTAAGAACCGGGTGGCATTCTGTTCGCAACAAACTCATCCGTATATTTGGCCATGAAGTCATTGATAAAACTAGCGAGCTTCTTGGAAGTGATGAACACGGGGAGATTCGAGCTGGATACAAACCATCTGGTCAATCGGGGGTGAGCAGTCCAGCATTGACGCATCAAATGTTCCAGTTCTTAAATTATATGTCAGCTCTGGTTCGCTGGGAGCGACTTCGCTGTCTCGCGATTCTATTCGAAGTTGCTCGTAAGTTTTTCCACCTTTCCTCGTTGCCGATGAAAACTGAACAGTTCCTGGGGATCAAACTTTCTCTATCGAACAGGCATTGCAGATCAAGGGTATTGAACTTGGTTATTTAGAGAACTAATAGTCGTATTGGCTTCGTGTTGTGTAAATGGTATTGAAAAAAAGTGAGAAATACACCTTTATCCTAACTGTTTATAAGGACACTTCAGCGAGTCATGCATGAGCCAACAAGACTTTGCAATCGTATAGCCATGCAAAAATAGCTGAGGAATGATGCTGCAAGGATTTTTCCGGTCTCGGAGAAATCCTGATCCCAATCAGCGGTGGCGTAAAAGACAACTTTCGCTGTGTCACTGTTTAATCATTCAATCATAAGAAGATTATTTGAACGTAATAACAAGTGTACTGGACAGGAAAAACAAACTACAGCCACATTGCACACCAAAGACTAATCCAAGCTAAGGATATTGGTTGCTATAACATTGCATTATTTAGATGAAACTTATCTAAGGACACATAATGCAAAATAATTCGCAGTAATTATACTACTACGCATATTTAACTTTATCAGTATTCACATGTGTTTACCTTACGTTGTGATCCCAAATATGTATACATTCAGGCCCCTGATCAATCACCTAGTGCAAAGTTCACCTTCTATCTGTGTCAGCCATATTGAGAACATCAACCCTTGATATAAATAATTAGATGATGCTGTGTTTACGGTAACTGAGGCTGGGTTTAAACTGTATCAATATCACATTGATATCTTCTGCTTGAACCCAGAGACTATAAAGTGCAGTCCATCTACTGGACAATTTAATAACAGAATCGCCTTGATACACCCCTCACTTCTTTACCAATATGAATCTCTCTATCCGTTCTGATTCTGACATTGTTCCCATTGATCCAAGTGAAGTCCCATTTGCTGTTATGGCAATTAACACGGACCAGTATTTTCAAGTTGCTGTTGTAGCTACCTTAGCTTATGATGCAGGTATGAATGCACCAAACCCTTATTTATATGCTCTATAGTAACGGCAAACTATGGCAGCTATTACTATGGATAAAGAAGTAATAAACATTTATTACAGATCTACATGTGGATATATGACTGATTAGAGAACTCACAGGTAAAGTATTTCTGGGTGAATAGTACAATCTCATCTGTCTGCAAGATTCTGGAGATTAAATAACATTGAATATTCAAGACTCCTTCCAGGAGACTTGTCAATATTGTTTACTTCCTGGTAAGCTTAATAAATATTGTCTATTCTTACCTAGTAATTTACTTTTCTACCATGGGCAACAAGAATCGGTATACTGGTCTACTAGGTCCTGTAGCCTTAGTACTTTGTAAGTTGTCTAACTATTGGAAGAGAATATACTAATAGCCATTTGAAAGTCGATACTTACAGCTCTACTATAAATTTGTATGTATCTTTCACCATATCGAATGCAGATTATAGACTCCTGATCCTTTGGCGTTAGATGTAAGCTAAGTATGAGAAAACCAGTTATTTATGATTGAGAATTCCCAGGTCTGTTCTCACTATGGACCCGGCTTATTACAAGTGAGATTTTATTAGTAAATGATGTACAACATGAGTCTGACAATCATGTTTAGATTTAATTGTTGTTATATCTGTTGACTGTATGAAACCGTCAACAACATACATAATAGATAAAATCTGATCCGTATTTTTAGACGTTCTTATGATCCGTGTTATTGCTCTTTATGCTCAAGGTATTTTTTCCCCTGTCAGTCGCTTGTGAGTACTAATATTTCATACATATACATAGATACAACACTGTCAACTGTGTTGAAGGTGCTGCTATGTGTGGAGGCAGTTTTGAAACTTGTAGCAACCATCTATATTGGCAAGTCTGATGAAAGTACGTTTTATTACCATCAAAAAAGCATAATCAATCTCTGAATTCAGTCAAGTTGGCGTTGCAAATCTTGCCAATGCCTTAGTTTGCTATGAAGGCGGGGTGCCCGGAATAAAATGGGCCTTTCTAGACTGGTATGCACTTTATGCAATGATGCCTACTGCAAACAGAATTGTTACTTACCCGAATCATATTACAGGGTCGTCCCAATGGTGTTTGAGCTTATACTCATGGTTCTAGCAGTCTACAAAGCAGCACAGTATTGGAAAGACGCTGCAGGACTTGAGGGAGTGCCACTCGTGAAAATTCTTATTCGGGATCAAGTAATTTATTTTGCTTTGTGAGTCCACAGTTCTAAAATGAAGTAAATGCATCAACTGACAACAGACATGTAATTGTAAAGCACGGTCTTTTGTTGTGCTATGAACATAGCACAATATAGGCTTGAAGTATCAAATAATATTTTGGCGGGTGTTTTGCAGGCTCTTGGAAACCCTTCCTTCCTTTGCGTTATGGGAAGTCGCATGCTATTTAACCTTAAGGAAGCGAGCGAGCTAGGTGTCAACGAAGGAACGAGCTACAGAATGAAGACTGTCAGCGAAATGCAATTCGCGTAATAATTCTATGCTCGGGATCGACGAAGGTTTGATTCTTGGTCGTTAAATTGTTCTGCGTCACACATCACTGATTCCGATACAGACTCCAGAGGATCGAGTATATACATCACTCCGTAGCTTAACAAAGTAGGAGAGAATCACAGGCTGTGAAACTTGGTTTTTGGTAGTCTATTTATATCCCTTGATGCAAGTCTACAGCTGTTGAGGCTATTTTGCTGTAGAAGTAGAGTACAATGGAACGATGAAGCGATGAAACATAGAACTTATGTACAATGTATATTGACGTCACAATAGTTACATGCTCTTATTGACATTGACTGTGTATATAGTAATAGTACCACGCGAAAGAGAGAAAGGAAATCACGAACCACAAAGGAATGTACGTAGCAATTAGGCTCACGAAACGCAACAAAAGGGAAATTAGAATGAGAAGTGCGGAGATCTATGTGCTATATCTAGCACAAAGGAAGGAAAATGAAGGAACGTGCGGATGAATATGGAAGACAAACAAAAAATCCTTTTTGTGTCTTTACTTATTTATCAAGGAGATTCAGCCGCGAAAATCTATTCACGATGCGCGAGTCAGTACTAGTCACTATTAATGCAGGGCTTTGGCGAGCTCCCACCTTGTTTGATAGGTCGCTATACATCGTGACTGGAGATGACGGAGACGACTTTGCTCGTGTGGAGTCCTGCCGTGAGGTGATAGCGAACTTCTTCTCTCCGCCTTCAGGGAATGCAAGTTTCGTATTATCAGCATCTTCCTCAGATTTCCTTCCATCTGCATCGTTTCCGTCTTCTCCTTGTACGACAACAATAGGCCGCGGTTGAGGAGCATCGTTTGAAGGCTCAGTTTCATCGCTTGTTTTTGTTTCGCTAAGTCGAATCGTCTTCAAAGAAAGTGTGAGTGCATTATCTGCACTTCCCTTTCGTGAAGAGAAACTAGACGTCTTGGAATTGGAGACCGTGGTTAGCGAGTGAGATCTTCCTCTCAATTCTGCGGCTGGAGGCAACGGAGAGGTTATGATCGAGAGTCGTTCGTTATCTTTAACGTCAAAATAAACCAGTCAGGGATAATACATAAATTTGAAGGCTGAAGATACTCACTTGGATTGAATGGATTTCTGAATGAAGGAGGACAACCGGCCGTGCCAGACATATCTTCGGATCGTCGGCGAAGTACGCTGTCTACAAATCCCGGAGGCATTGGTACATAATCGTGCTGAACATATTTATAACGCTTACTATCAGTACCAATCTTCACTCCACCACCAACGACACGCCAGTTTATCTTATAGAAATTAGTCGATCTAGCCCTTTCCGCCTCATTTGAAGGGGTTTGGTCTTCCGAATTTTCAGACGGCTTTCTTGGGGTCTGCTCGGGAGTCTTCGTTTCTTTTCTAGTCGGTTGAGTACTCCGTCTTGGCACAGTCAAAGGTACAGATGCGTGGCTACTGGAAAGGATGATAATGAGAAAAGTTAGCAAGCTGGCCGTCAAACCACGATATCTGCCTACAAATTGCACCGATTGCCCTTATGACACCGTCCAGGCTCGTTGAAGAACCTACACGGTTTGCCTGTAGCGACCATAAAACTTCAATCAACTAATAAATATGAATTCCTAAAGACACATACTTCGATATTGCGAGCTAGGCAGTGAGGTTGCTCCAACATCCCCATTGGGCTGCGAGAATACGTGTTGACGAGGTGGCTGCTTCTCTTGAGCATTTGCAGTCGGTCTCATCTGAGCCGATGACAAGTCCTGATACATAGGAAATGCGAATGGGACGTGCACAATCTGCAGAGGCAACGGCGAAGTTGGAGAGTACATCGGGAACGGGGAAGCTAAAGGCGGACAATCCAGCGGGCTCTTGGGAGCGTACTCATGTGGTGGATATGGTAAAGGTGAGAACGGAGGCATTGGGAACGACGGAACACGATGCATGCTGGGCGGGTACTCAGTGTTTATAGCAGACGCTGGAACCGCAGGCGTATCGTGTTCGTCAGTTAACAGAGACGATGTGGAGGGAGTCTGTATGTTCTGATAAGAAGGGACTCGCGCGGGTGTGCTTGACGATGAAGAGTCCAGATCTAGTGTGTCCACATCTGAGTCACTGTTCTGAGAACCACCAACATTACAATTGGTGCTCGGACGAGGGGGAGTAGCTTTAGGAAAGAGAGATGAGGGTGCAACGAGAGTGTTCGCAATGGGCGTGGCAGCTGCACAGTCCGTGGAAGTCTCTGCTGTAGGAAGGACGTGCATGTAGCTGCAACGTTCTCCGTAGACACATTTCCCGAGTATGAAGTTGCGGCAGGGGCGTGCTGCAACGACGTACCATCAGTCCATTGTCGAATACGACCACTCAGAGTAAGAAGAGACACACTTCGATACTTAGGATGTTCCTCGGGCTTCGCCTTCCACGCTCCATCGATCTCTCTCACATCTACGTCCTCATCCGTGCTCTTATCCGAATCAAGCTCAGGTACGTCCTCAAGTAAACTCGTATCCAATCCTCTACTTGCGGTGAACGATCCAGCCGGATGTTTGAAGCGACACCAATATCCATCTCTACATTGCCCGCCGAGATAGAACCTGCAAGGTTTCGTGCGCAGCGTCGCCTGGGGATTCTTCAACGACTCATACTCCTCCTGAGTTGCGATGACGTGCGCAAAGTCACATTCATCAGCAGACAGAGGACAATCGTTTGTCTGAAAGTAAAGACAGGGTTTTGCTGAAGCAACGCTCTGAGAATCGCTTCTGTGTGGAGACGATCAAGCACGTACTATGGCGTTTGGTCTTTGGCATGATAGCCGACAAAATCAACCGAAGAGAAGACGCACAGACAGGAATGAGAGAGGGGCAAAGTAAACAAGAGACGGGAACCACGAGCTCTTAAGGCAAGAATGAACAATGAGTGGCCGCTTGATGCAACGGACAATCGGAAGCGCAGATGGAGGAACAAGAGAACGAGTGGAGTGAAATAGTCTGCAAATGTGAATCACTCAGCCCAAATGAGTGTCTGGATCTCAGCACGATATTGACCGTGATACGTAGGTGAGATGTAACGAGGGTGAGTGTTTGGTGGTGAGGAAGAACGAGATTCTTAGCAGATACGCGGAGCGGCAGCTCAAGATTGCATATGCACGAACGGGAAAGTGAGAGGCAGAGTGAGGATGAGGAGAAAAGAGCAGTTCAGCATAATAGAGCGGCTAAGACGAAGAAAGGGCCAATTTGGACAGAAACCCAGAAACGCGGAGTTGATCTTCATTCTTCCCGCCAAAACGGTCCCTAAAAATCCGATTCTCATGTTCGATCTATTCATTTAGCTTTTAAATTTGCACCTCCACTGAGTCTCAGATATAACCTTTAAAATATGCTTCCGTTGCAATGCAATGCTAGGGCTTAAGCTGGAGACAACAATGCATGTTATTTTGCACTTTAGCATCGCACCACTGGTGGCCAAAGGGCAGAAGGAGTTCTGCAGTGTACCAAACGGATCAAGACTAGCACGGGACCTGACAGCTTATCCAGATATAACAGAAGAACCGAACTCCTTTTGTTGATTGTTGGCCGGTGGAACGGAAGCATAGGCGTGTGTCGTCTGAACAGAGTTGGAAAGTGAACAATAAGCAGGCGAGAAGCTCATCGGCCATGCTTTTATTGTGTCGCAACACGTGCTTCTCACCTTACCACATTTAGAAGTGCCTTGCTCAATTCGCTCGGCGCTCGGAAAGCACCGATAACGATCCATTTCTCAGTGACAAAGCCGCATATATACAGCTGTGTAGCTGACGGCCCTAATTTCGTGTCCTTCTCTTCACTCTGTCATCGCGATAATTCGCGCGTTTCGTACATGAACAACTTCATCGCGGTATTGATGTAATTTGGTACTCTTGCTCTCGAATCACCTGAAAGCGCAACAGTTCCCCTCGCAACTATCCCAGAATGCAGAACTTTCCTCTCTCAAAATCAAGATCAACCGTTGCTTTTCACCTACCTCTCCCCCTTCCATTCGTTGCGCCGACGTTCCAATTAAGGGGTACTTTCCACAAGCAGATGATTTCGGACAAATAAGAACAGACGCGACCAGAGAAACAAAGACAGACGCCACTGGAACTTATCTGAAGAACGGAGGGATATATCGTCCGAATGAATTTCCATCTCATTGTCGCTATAGTCAGGATTAAATACTGAAACAAGCAAGAGCAAGGATCTTCAGTTCTAAACCGCTGTGAATGATGTCTAATATGATTGTATATCACTTAATTTATTGTCATCTATAACTCTTGTACTTTGTGAATGTGTAAAATTTTGTATTGTTAATATTAGCCCAGCTCCGTCCTCATGCTCTATTTACACCCTCAACAAAACTGACTCTAAGGTCTCAATATCCTATCAATGTCAACATTATTCACAAATCCAAAGCATATTATTTACAAAATGGAATGCACATTCATAATTAACAGTGTTTCAGACTCGACCCCTTATAATACTACAAGAAACAAATATCCAAAACATTCTTCTTCGAAAGCGAGGCTCGGTACACTTCTAACAACAGTGTGTTCAGACTGTTAAATGTTTATTCAAGAGCCTTTCTTCTGGCTTTGCAACTATCAGTTTAAGCATGTCCTTAGAAATGGCTAGGACCGATTAAGCAAGAAACTATTTCCCACGTCCGCTCCTTACATGTATTTTTAGAAAAGGCTATATTTGGTATTTACGGACAAAGTCACGATACATTTAAAAATGGTATCCATATCCATATCCAAGAAACGGGAGGAACGGAAATCTATAAGAGATATTACAAGAGAGGGAATAACGCTACTGCTGCTAATACAAATAAAATGAATGAACGGCTGTATCCCATCTAGGGCTTATAAACATGAATCTGGACTATCTTATGATTTCATACAAATGCAATATCGATAAACACACATACAAAGAAAAAGGAAAGACAGAATTAGGTTGAATCGACTCGATTCAAGAGAAAAATGTTTATGTCTTTGGTGTTGGTATTTGTTGGTGTTGAGTGTTATATCCAATTTCCGATTTCCGAACTTTCCGAGTCCGAAACTTCCGGGATGTGAAAGTCAAAAGAGTCCGCATATGCATGTTCTATAATGATGATGATCTAGTGAAGAAAAGAACGTAGAGAAGGAATGGTAAGAGGATGGCGGATATGGGTGTTGGAAGGGTGAGTGATTGAAGGCTGTCATCACGGAGTAAACAAAAGGAAGAGAAGAATCAATAAGTCAGCCGCCAAGAAGTCAAGCGATATTCTCAAATCACTTACGCAGATGACGATGTCGCCTGTTGCGGCGCCTGGGTGATATGTACGGTCATGACGGCAACCAGTCCGTCTACCGCATTCGTAGTCATACTTTGAAAATGATTTATCCCATCACTCGTATTCGATAACAACCCCGATACATATTGCACACTCGTCTGGTACATGTACCCGTTCGCCGACGTCGATCCAGTATATGTCGATGAATTGGTCAAGTTCGAAGTCGGGATGAACGCGTTAGTTGCATTCCCAATAAGCCAATCTCGACCGAGGTTGTACCCATTATCAATGATATCGTGTTGCTCCGCAATTGGTTTCTCGTATGAGAGAGCCATAAAGACCGCTTTGCTGTCAGCTTCCTTCCCATCCTGTACCCAATATCGGAAATGGTTCCCGCCCTTGATAGTCTCCTGACATGTACCCAATGTCGGGTCGCCGTACGCCCATCGAATGACAGCAGTTTCGTTTACTGTTTCCGCGACATCCCGAAGATCTCTCATGAGCTACCTTCTCGTGTGAAGTGAGGCGAACAGATAAAACTTACAGTAGCCATCGCCGTCTCCAAGGTTGGCCATCTGGTCAGAGCCTGAATGTTGACCGAGGCATTCTCCTGCGAAACCAAGTGAGATGAAGTAGTTCTGTAATCCGCCATGATCCTCCGAGTCGACCAGCACTGCCGCGTCTGAGTTTGCAGATAAGATGACGTTGAGTGGTTCACCGAGACCTTCGGGAAACGTTTGGGGAATTTTCTAGGGATAAAAGAAAAGCAAAAATAAAGTTCATTATAAGAACTTGATACGTTAAAACATGAGCTAGCTTAGCACGCACTGTCAAGAAGCTCCCGCCATTGTTTCGGGGGTCGAAATATCCTGTAGATGGCACGTTCGCGCGTCGTGAATGACCACTGGGGTGTATCGGTATATCCAAACTAGATGATGACGGCATGCATAGTGCGAGGAGGAATAGCTGTAGGGATAGAGACACAGGCAGCCGCGGGTGCATTCCTTGCGTTCCTGGCCACTTTATCTCGAAGTGGTGAATGGTGTGCCGTAAGAGATGGATGGAATAGAAAAGGAAGGGCGGATTGGGGATAGCTCGATAGAGTATTGGAGGTATAGATGATGACTAGAAGAAGGAAGGAGGACGGAGTCTGTGGGAGAAGAGCGTGCACGGTGACATGCGCGTTTAGTGGACAGGAGCAGACAACGTCGCCAGGCGGCCGGGCCTCTTGTTCCTCCCTCTTTTGGAAGGCGTGCCCGGCCCATAAATACACGTGTTGTCCATCCACCTCCGAAATTGAATGCTTCCATTAGAACTCTTTCCTTTTCAGCGCATTCGAGTCCTTGCTCATCCTCAATAATGAAGGAGACTGGAGGAAAGCATCGAAATTAACGTGTAGGCTGTAGCGCTCGTCCTAAATTTCAAAAACGATCACATGATAATCATGAGCTCGCGTTTTCCACTTCTCAGACACCTTTCATTTAAAGTGTTCCGTCTGCGCTGTACAGCGCTTGTGCACAGCCTTCGATCATGATCGTAGGTATGAATGAACCAACGTGGGTTCATAGCTTTCGCAAATATAAATCGAGTCTGCCACTGACTTCAATTTCTGCTGCCGACAAATTTTCCTCTCTGAGGTGTCGATCTAGAAACACAGGCAATCGAAATGACAGCCACTTAGTACTCGGAATCCATCTTTCTTGTCCCAAACCAAGTATGCCAAGATGCCAGGATCTAGGCCAACAACTACTCTGTATGCTACCATCACCACCTACTCTTATTCTCTCTGTGCCGAGTTCCTTGGCACCTCCCCTCTTTCCTAGTCGAAATAAATATTGTTAATATTAAACTAACATCCTTAGATCAATATACTCGCCTTCTTGCTCCTAAATGCCACTCATGACAAAGTTTGCCTCCGGGCGTTACACGGCAGCCAGTAGAGAAAGCATACAACCTTACTCATCTTACAATATATATATTATATAGTAATATACAGACCAAATACATTCCCAGCTCCTAAGACACCCAACTATGCACAAAGAACCTCAATACACCCACAAACTTATGCTTCTTCATCATAGACTCGAGTCTAGAAGCCCAACATCCAAAAAAATTCAACAGCACCCGGCCTGAGATACACATATAGATGATATTTATATTGTGTGGCACCGTGCTGGCGTGAGAGACGTCCCGCAATTTGCAAAGACCGATCAAACGTTGCAGCGATATGAATCAGTATACAGTAGGTTCATTGATCTGCCAAGCACTAGCAGGGGACAGTATAACACGTTTTTTACACACATAGTAACAGGTTGATTTTGTTAATATTGAAATGCTGAAGTCGGTAGGTAGGCCAAAGATGTAAGGATAAAGTATTGTATAATGTACTGTATCGTTTCTTTTCGTTCCCTAGTCATACGAAACAACACAAGCGGCGAAAGTAAGTTAAAGCGAACCTTTTCATTATACTATGTACTCAATACCGAAAACAAGTCAAATCCGAGTCAGGAGAGCAGGATAGAGTCTACAATCATCAGCCAAACGCAAAGCGAAAACGGTATAGTCAAAGGAAAACCGCAAAACACGACAGCGTGGCAAACAGAACAAGCCAGACCAAGAAAAAAACACAATTTTCTAACTATATTACAATAAAATGGGCACGTACGATTAAGCAGCCATCGAACCTTTGGAATCCGGGGAAGCGAGGCGTTGTCAGACAATATACAGGTTTCTTTTTTCTTTATCCGGGATGCGTGAAGATGGAGAAACGAGAGAAAACGTGTCAAGAGCAGTAAGGATGTAAAGTTGGAACAGGGTTGGAACAAAAACGAATCCAGGTAAGAAAAGCGTTGAACACAGAAAGTGGGAGATTGCAAGAACGGTATGAGAACGGGAGAGCAAGGAAACATTGCACGACCAGACAGCAAAGAGAAAAGAATTGGCATAAGAGACAGGAAACATTGAGGCGGAGAAACGGATTGCGGAAGTGGGTAGTAAAACACGGATATGGGTCAGGGAATCAAGCCAGAACAGACAGTGAAACAAACGGAGAAAGGAAGCGATAACGACAGTAAGCGCAACGTAGAGTGCATAGCGGAACTAGCATCACGCATAAGGGACACCAGACATGGTGCCAACGTACGGCGTCGACATCTCAACATTCGTCGGCCAAACAGGAGCGGGATAAGCAGCTCCATCCATCGTGTACAGGGCAGCTGCTGGTGGAACAGAAGTAGCGTCCTGCACGCCGTATTGGTTCCACATTTCGTTATAAGAATCGTATGACGTATTCTGAACGAACGCATTCTCAACATTATACGCCTCAGACGGGAAGATGATCTTCGCTTCCTCCTGTTGAACATTGACAGGATAGTCAGTCAACCGTTTCCCCATCGGGTCAGCACAAAGTTCTTGCAAAACGCGTAACACTCGTATCGCCTGCGGAACAATCTGGCCAAAGTCTCTCTCACGGAGGTTTTCGAATATCTCAATCGCGCTTGCGAGCTCGCGACGCCATTCATTCGCGTCCGGATGGTACAAGTCGCGAAGGAGGGTGACGCCGAGCGTAACCGATGCCTCGAACATGTACATACTAATGTCGAACGGGACCTGGCGCTCCCACCATTGATTCATAAGCAGATGGCCTTGAGAGTGCAGAACACTGATCGCATATTGCGCGAGTTGACTCTGGTCCCATCCATAGCCCATTGCATCTTGATGTGCAGGTCGCGAATACGCCAATGCCCGATGGTAGAACAGGCAAGAACACGTGTAGTAAGACCGTAGCGTCATACGCTGGAGATATAACTTCGGATATATGTGATCGTACGAAACGTTCGGCGTTTGATCCAACTTGTAAAACGACGGAAGGTTTGCAAGCCATTCACCCATTCTAATGTCGAAGTACGCGTGACCGTCTTCGTTGTCTGGCTGGGCGCTCAGGAACTGGGGATGATGTCAGTTATTTATCTATAACAGCGTAATGAATCCCATCCCCACCTTCTCTTTCGCTTCGCTAACGATTTTCGTCATCGATATGAAATACGCCTGGAATAGCAGTGCTATGTTCGTAGATCCATCTAATGCAAGGGCATCCGAGCGGGCCGAGGGAAGTTGTACATTGCAGTCTCGAGACCGAACGACTGTAGGCCTTCCCAAAAAGAGTGACAAATACCTACATAGGGGCATCAGTGATCCGTGAGATTTTTCATCATATAAACTGACCTATCAAACTCGACACACAGGTGCCAAGACACCAGCATGAACGTACGTTGATCGTCCGTTACGTTCTTTGACTTCCCAGGGGCCAAAAAGTTGTGCAGTCCAACGTTCTGGGCGTCACGCAGAGCGCTGCCAACAACCTTCCATGCCTACATAAAAATACCATGAGTTTAAGCGGAACAGTATGGAGGATAAATGCCTCGAAGCTGACCTCGGTAATCCTACCTCTATCTTGAAGGTATCTTGCCAAAAACGCGGCTCCGAGGCAAGAATAAACGGCGCCCATTATGTCACCGTGTTGAGGCGGTGCATCTAAAGATGCGTATCTGTCCTCCTGCAATTTTCTAGCTGCCATAGCCTGATTGAAATAGTCCCTACTTTCTTCCTCAGTAGCGCAGGCTGGAGAAAAGCAGAACATCGAGAGAAGCAAAGCCACCCAGTACGGATTGTACTTCTGTAGGCAAGTCGGATCGGCTCTAATACGCTCCCACATCAACTCGTGCGACGAGAAGAGAACATTGTACGGAATCCCGATCGACCAGTTCACGTGCTCGTGGAAGCTCAACAGGAGCGCCTCGCAGTGTCTGGGTGGATCAATGCCTACTTTAGTACACGCCTTACGAGAAGCCAATTTTCGTGCCTAAACGACTCACGCTTTATCAGGCAATCTCGGCACGAACGGCTCAGAGGGGCGGAATGCAATTGATTGGTGCAGCTGACTATTCAGAGGCAGCTCGTAGACTCGGTATGCCCCGGAATTGGTGAGCTATTGAGGGGCGGAGGAGAGGGGAGTTAACTTTGTTTTTGGTCTTTATCGGGCCGCCTCGTGGCCTACTTACCTCCTGCAGAGCGTAAGCGAAAGAGCCCTCGGCAAGATGATGAGCCTGTAAAAATCGTAAGATTCTGGAAGATACGGGGGATCAAGAGGAGATCGCAGACCTCCTCGGTGAGCTGCATGCGGGCCAACGCAAGAGCAGCTTCTTTAAGTCCCTCGCTTTGAGGGCGACCCTCGAACGGACTTTGCGAAGATCGAGAGTATAGCGGAGATCCAGCCTGAGACGACTGACTCAAGGGCGATGATGCAACTACAAGACTCTGATAACTAGTCGGCGAATATACACTGCTAATTGGACTAGTCTGCGCTATTGCCTTCGATGAGGATGATGCTGCCGTTGGCACATTGTTTGCAGGGAAGGATATGGTCAGGATGGATGGTTTCTCCTTCCGCGCCGCGGCTCTCCCACCGGGCGGCCTTGCGGGTGGCGGACGTGCGAAGGGCTCCGTTTCCCATCGACAGAGATGTTCGACCCCGCGTGTCTTGCACAGCGAACACGGCTGCTGTCTGTCACATTTCTATCCAACAAAAAAACAAAAAAGCAAACCAATGTTTTAATCATTCTGGTCGTCGGAGAACGGGCGCTAAACAGCGACGGATCGGACTTGTACTGACCTGCCTTCTACGCGTACATTCGACGCAACTTACTCGGAGTCTTCTGCGGGTCCTCTTCTTTGGCTGATCTAGAAACTGCTGCTGCTGGGTAGTGTCTACCATCGACGTCGGGGGTGGCAAGGCGGACATGGCTGGAAGACGTTGACACCGACAGCGTAAGAAACAAAGTGGAAGAGATTGATGCTTGCTGATGCTGGTGATGCGCGTGTCACGTTTATTTATGTGTGTTACGCACCTAGTCCCAATATGGTGTCCTTCACTCCTCGTTACCCCTTTGGAGTTCTCGTCCCCCCGCTCTGCGCGGCGCTTCCGTTTCACAATTCGCATTGTTTTTTACTATGCGTCTCTGCCAATGCTATCCGTTCGTCCGTCGGCCAACCCGCATTGTAGCGCGTCATCCCGCGGATGGCTGTATTTAGACTTGTGATAAGAAATCGAACAAATTGATCGCCGCGTCTCTCCATTATTGAATTATCCCCTTCTTGGCGATTTTCCCCTTTGAATATAAAGGAATAGTTACCGGAAGTCCCTCCTCGACATCAACACATTCCAAACAAATCAGAATGGTTGGTCCACATAGCCCCTGTACGCCTCGATTACGCCACCTTCCAAGAATGCCCTCTGCAATGTCTCTACATATATGCGATCAATCTGACGGAATTAAAAAAATATTTGTGGCTCACCTGGGGAACTGGCCTTTGAGGTGGTGCTGGTCTGACTTCAGGAGGGGACCACCTTGATCACCTCGGTATATATCGCAAGAAGCTCTCTAGTGTCAGCACGAGCTCGTCACACCAGAACACCGCCAAGCTAAGAAAGGACAATCATCGCGAAGGAGAGAACACGCTATCAATTCCCCCTCTCTATCAGAGCGCCGCAAAGAAGTGGAAGCAGGAAGGAACGACGACGCGAGGGGATGAAACGAACGAAGCACCACGCAGGCACACACACACCACCAAGGTCTAGGGGCTACCAGAGAGAGACGTCAAGCGTCATGCTTTCCCATCTCTCGCAACTCAACCTTAAAACACACTCACGCAAGCAACATTATTAAGTCCTTCTCCCTTCAAGTACATCATAGATCGCACTTAACAGCACCCTCCACTCTTAACCGCGAGCGGCAGGAGCCAATCTCCAGGCCGGAAATTCTTAGACTTATCCGGCTACCCCGAATACCGACCTGTCCATCCCTGGTAATTTTACGCATACATAATTCTTATCTGCGAAAACCCATGCGTTAATAACCTGCATGTACACAGCTCTGTAGACTCCGGCGATCATCGGATGAATTCGTTTCTGTGGAGCACTGTCGGTTGCAAGAATCACAAACTGTGAGGAAGGAAGCGCTGTTAAGGAATCAAGCTCGTATCCCCTCAAGGAAGAACAACTTTGTTCCCTGATTTACCGGTCATCATCAATTTCATTGTCCCACTTCTCGGGGGTGGCAATGCTCTTCTCTCCGTTCCTAATTGACCGGAATGTTTTCATTATTTTTAGTCATCCATTTTTAAAAAAGTGCAATTTAATATTTGTATTTGTATTGTCAAACGGACTACGACTAGTGTAATTACGCACACTAGTCCATTTTGCTTCCACTAGCAAGCAAAATGAGGGTGCAAGCGAGCGTCGGGTAGACGTGGCCACATAGAACACCTGAACAGCCGTGATCATCGGCATAAACAAATCATTAGATATGTGGCGTTGCGCAGATGACCCCGTCTAAATTCTAATAATCATTACTACCCCTCACCGCATTCACATCTTTTCTTTACTTACAAACACCCAGACGCTCAAGTTAGTCTTAGTCTAACAGTGAGTGTCTTTCATTTCGGTAGTACATTTCGTTATCCGTACGTACGTATCTTTACAAACGCTCAAATTAGTCTTAATCTAATAGTCTCTTTCATTTCGGTATACATTTTGTTATTATTCATATGTATGCACACTTCAGAAAAGCCTTAGCTTGGCATCGATACATTTCTGCAACTGCACAAAAAACAGAGAAAGAGAAAAACGAGACAGGGGCGAGAGAGAGAGAGAGAGAGAGAGAGAGAGAGAGAGAGAGAGAGACATATACATAATCGTGCATAGTAGCTCATACACGCATATACGATTTCACTTTCAAACGAGGGATCAGTTTATGAGGAGGGGTAGTGGGGACAAGGGAAGGAACAAAACCGGAACGGCAACAACAAACGACAGAATCGGAAACAACAGAAACGCACCAAGCGTCCCCATAAGTCGACAGGAATTATAAACAGCCAGAAAAATGGAAAAAGGAAGCACACGGAAACGGAATCAGTAACGCATGTCAATTGCGCCCGAAGAAGAACCAGAAGTAAGAATAAGGAAATGGAGAGAGAAAGAGGGGGAAATATATATTGAGACACAGGAGGATAGTCCTTGCTTGAGAAAAGAGGAGGGAAAAGGGTAACAAATACCGGAATTGCACCTGGCGCGCTCACCGGAACGTATTAAGTCGCCAACAGCAAGAAGCCGGCGGGACTCCTGTGTGAATGAATGGGATCAGGAACTCCGCTACGATGTATCAGTCAAAGCAAGTTACTCACGAATAATTAAAACGAAGTCTAACTTTAAGATCTAGAGAACAGACTGGTAACTGTGCCTCTCCGATCACGCGAAAAACGCGTCGAGGACGCTCCACTGATGTTGCTATCTAGCGAAGCTCGAGGACGACGCTCCACTCGCTCGATATCCGAAGAATTGCGAACAGATTGTACCTCAGACTCAACTGCAGAACTCCCTGAGACCGTGCGTTTCCGAACGTCGCGTTCTATCTGCTCCTGCAAACCTGCGGCTGCCGCTCCACCGGTTCGTGAGAACGTACGAGACATTGAAGACGTAGGTGCGTGTCTAGGACGTTCAGGAGAAGCTTGCGTCTTGTTGATTGCAATTGTCGGCTCTGCCGTCCCAGATAACGTCTGGAACAGTGAAGTTGCCGCTCGACTACCAGGACCCGAAGTCTTTGGACGCCGACTGACAGTAGATGCTTTTTCTGATGTTCGTCGGGAGAGGAGTGATTCAGAAACAAGCGTTGGTAGGGCAGGGGGAACAGCAACAGTGTTGGAACGACGCGGGAGAGTTCCCTGGTGTCGGGCCGTAGCAGCCGCGGAGGGCGAATCCACCGGGTCATCATCCGCATTTGAATACTGGTTAGTACGTGCCTTGGAGTCACGCAAGTCTTGGAGGGAGTCTAGATGCCGCGAGCCTGTGAGTGATAACCTGTTCAACTTCCGAGATGATAATTCATTATCGCCAATAGAGTCCGACGATCTATGGCCAAGCTCTGCGTCAGCAAGTGCCTTCGAAATCGTCGCGGGTCGGAAAGAGGACGTAGATGATGCACTGTGTAGGGACGTGAAGGACGTCGTCGTTCTCCCCATCTCACCCGACGAGGCGTTCCACCGGGTCTTACCATCCAGACTGCTACGATTCCCTTCAGAGGATAGTCTACTACTTTCCGACTTGCGACCATCAGCGCTTGGACCGACCTCTGGCGTACGTCGCCGCATTGCACCGTCGTCAAGGGACGCTGTCCGATTATGCATGCTTTCTGCCGCCGATTCGCGCAGAACTTTTCCAACCCCCAGAAGGAAGGACGTCATTGTTCTTACAAGTTCATCGCTCACACGGACGCTCTCTCTATAGTCTGCTCCGACGTCCCTCCAAAGGCTAACGAGGTCAACTGCTCGACCATCCTCCCCAAGTTCTGCATCAATCTGCTCGTCGAGAGCATGCGAATTGCCCCTCCGAAGCATGTTGTTCAATGCATCGGCGGCATGAACGATGTTTTGTGCTGAGCGGAATAATTCAGGGATGGTCACCATTGTCGTGTTTCCTAACGAGGGCAGTCGAGATAATTGAGATTCGAACATTCCCAGAGACTCCAGCATCAAACGCGTATGTTCTGGCACAACATCCGCCCCAGCAGCAGAAGACAGGTTATGTGGACTAGCAGTCGAGCGTCCAACTGCAGCGGATGAGCCACTGCGTTCACCAGCTGCGGACGAGACATTTCCATAGTTGCGAACTTGAGATGATGGACGAGAAGATACATCGCCAACTTGCCGGTCTCTATCCCGATCAGATGTTATTACGTACGCAGAATTGTAGGTACGCAGTGCGGGAGGTGCCGTTCGCGGCTCCTCGCGATATGCTGCCATGGAAGTTGATGGCCTTTCGGCTTTTGCAGTTTGGGCATTCCGTTGCGCAATGTATGTCGGATTGGCGGGTGTGCGAGGCTCAATGTGACGTTCGTTATCAGAAATCGCTGGACGCTCGCTGAATCGTGTACCAGGCCTTGAAGAAGGTTCTAGCCGACTCGTCAAGGGTCGTGCACCAACTTCACTGCTAATACGGAGTCTTCTGCCGCCCTCGCCGAAAACATCTTCACCACCTTCCTCCCGTAATTTGACTAGTCCCGCAGCACGCAAGCTCTCTCCCACAAAATTGCGTCTTGGACTGTCACCATTAATAACCCGACGGGACGGAGATGGAGCCTCTTCGTCCGATCCGTTCTTCAGAGGAGACATGTCCTGTGACAACCATCGTGTTTGGTGTTTACGTGTAATTTCTCGTATCGACGAGAATCTCTGAGCTCGTGTCCTCGGAGTCATCGGAGAGTCGTGGAGTGTTGCACGGGAAGACGAGGGCGAGTCCTGAGCTGAGAATGCACCCGAAACAGTACGTTCTCGTCGCGGTGTTTGAGGAAATTGTGTAGAAGACTATTAAAACAGTGAAATGAAAAGCTGTTGTTTTAAAATGAGATCATAGTGCTTACTTCACCATTACCACCACCTCCTCCACCGAGGAATTCGCGAGGCAATGGTTGTCTTCGCCTTGCGTCAATGGGACTGTCACGCCGAGACTGAGCCACCGCTGCAAGTGCAGCAGCTTCGATATCATCGGCACGACTTTCGGGTCTTGTGCGTTGTTTGGACACATCACTTGGTTCAGCTGACCGCTCTCGTACTGAACGATCTAAGAAAGCCGATTTGGACTCGCCAAAAGCAGAAGAGGATGTCCGTCGTTCTGCCATACTCGCGGATCGAAAATGACTTCCAGTCGTCGAAGTCGGCGTCTCTGACAAGCCTTCTGAATCAGAAGCTGCATTATTTCCATTTGCGTTTTCACGTTCTGTCTCCGAGCCTGACGCCCGTGACATTGACTCTGAACGTCTCCTTGTTAAACGTGAAGAGGGCGCAGTGGAAGTTGAAGCAGTAGTAGCAGACTGTAAAGGTGAACGTCGGGTCACATTTGTCGGAGACGGTGTAGAAAGACGAGAGCCAGAAGATATTGAGGCCAGTTTACTTAGAACCTAAAAGAAAATATGTTTGAGAGAGCATACAGAACGAGCAAAAGAAAGTGCATACCAGACGATTGCGCTGGGTCAAACTTTTAACACGCTGCAAGGCCGAATTGCTCGACTCCTCGTTCAAGCGTGAGTTACCACCAGACAGCTTAGCAGTGTGGTCTTCGTCGTTTCCACCGTCGCCGTCGTCGCTCGGGGAGCTTCTTGCGCTACGGGCGCCATTCCCATTGTTCATGAGTTCGTTCGAGTTTGAGAGCCGCACGCTGTCCGTGCTCAAGTCGCCGTTGCTGCCGCTGCCCGTCGAGTTTGAAGCAGGGGGCGACGGCAGACCGGAGGAGCCTGGGCTACTTGCAGTGCTAGGAGGTTCCGGGAGGTCAGGAAGAAGAGCGGGGTTGCCGAGGAATATTGCAGAGAGCGGACGCCTATGTTTTGTGGCAAGGGGCGGGCGGGATGTCATCTGCAGTGAAAGAAGAGCCAGTCGACGCCCATGAGACGGCGAGAAGAAGGAGAAAGCGCGTCGTCAACGACGCCGACGGCGAGCGGAGGTAGCGGGTTGAGGTCAAAGGAAGAGAGAGCACCAGTTGCAACAGTGAGGGGCGTGGACACTCGTTGCGCGCGTGTCGCCGAGTGCCTGCCTTATTTGGATGTGCAGCCCTTTATTACTAACTACAACCACCGAGACCAGCTTACTTAAATAATCTCAAAAATCAATTCTGAAATGCCTCCCCAGCGCACCGACCTCCTGGGTGCTGCTCGTGCCTTCTGCGACGCCTTCGCCAACAAGCAACCCATAGACAATATCCTCTCATCCTTCGCGGATGCGCTAGACACACGCTGCATCGAATACGGAACGGACTATGTCGCCCCCTTTCTCGGCCGTCCGTTCACCGGCCTCGATGGGGCAAAGGAATACTTCACGAGAGTCAACCAGAAGCTGACCTATAAGGACATGCACTTCTCCGATTTCATCGTCGATACCGACGAACTCAAGGTCTCCGTCAAAGGCAGTGCAACTTTCACAAGTAAAGAATACGAACGAAGTTGGGACGAGGTGTTTACATACCGATTCGAATTCGACGAGCAGCTAAAGATAAAGAGCTACGAGGTCTGGGGAGACACTGCCGGCCTGTGCTTTTCCGTCTGGTACAATGAGATGATAGCTGATACTGGTATGGGTGAGTGCATTCGTGTTCATTTTTATATGTAACTGCAAGTACTAATCAGAGATGACAGGTCTTTTGGGGGACTACTAATAGTGAACAAAAATGTATATGTTACATGTATGCGAGAATCCAAAGAAATGAAAAGATAGAGAAATGAACAGGAAATCGATTCATATTGCCCTCCCGATATCAGGGTCCGATGTATCACCGACGTTCCCATTACTCGCCCCTCTCCCACTAGAAAACCGTGATTGCAGCTTTTCTAGCGGAGACTGGAAGTGTCTTAATAGTGCCGGTCTTTCCATTCTGTTCCGCGTCTCTTGTTCTATCTTTTCATATAGGTGGTCAAATAGGAGACAGAACCATCGCAGTTTTTCTAGGTGTCCAGGCACAGGTCTGCAAATGGTAGGTCTATTGCTCAAATCGAAGTGGAAGGCTATTAATAACCTTACCTGGTAATAAATTCTAGTCGCTGCGGAGGATCCAAGTTCATCATTCTAAGAATCCAAAGTCAGCATCGCCATCACATCTCAAAGTCAAGTCAACTAACCTAGACAAATAATCATTTCGAGCCCACTCAGACGTTAACACTAAGCTGTACACAACAGTGCAAGCATGTAAGTTCACGAAGATCCCACACTCGCAGTTCTAAATACTTACTCATGTAGATAATGTCTAAGCCTCTCGTATCCACAATCCGCGCCATAATCCAACAACGCGTACTGCTGCACACACTGATTCGCAAAATCCTGAACAAGTGATAAATGCCTCGGCTCAAAATCCTGCTTCAAAAGCCTCTCGAACGTCTTGCTTGCTTGCCACAGCATCATATCCCTACTCGCACAGTAATCGAGTGACGGGTAGGCTTGGATCCATGAGAGGCAGCCTTCGAAATCACCGAATGGGACTTTAGCGAATTGGAAGAGGGCTTCGGAAGAAGAGGACGACGTCATCGCCTGTGTCGGCAATGAGCAAGTGGAGGGCGGAGACTTGAGTGTGATCCGTGATTTCGCTTTCTTAAGCGTTTTACTCGTCCTGGAACCGGCGGAGAAGGATACTGACGGGACCGCTTTCTCGCTTGTGTGGAACGCAGATGCCGGGGAGGGGTGGACGCTTCTTCCAAGAAGGTCAGGGGTGCTTTTGGGATGTCGTCGGAGCGCCATATGAGAGGAGTTGCTGCACCCTGCATTGCAAGTCTTTACTAGTGCGCCACGTACCTATTCGGGGATGTAAGGATGTGGTATGTGCAAAGGAGAGGCGTGAGCGGATGGGTGACGCCACATTTGGTTGGTGGGTACCGCCAGCATCACTATGTTAGCATAGCTGGCATTGATCTTCCTGTTTCTAATATTAGGACGTACGTATTGGAGGGATATCCGCAAAAATCACGGCATCTGGAACATTGAGGGCCGGGCATAAGTATGAAATTCGTGGTTAAGTACTAACTGCTAGTTGACCATCCGTTGACCGGCATCAAACGAAACCCCTTTCGGAGGAAATGGTTAATCCTCATATGTATGCTTACCCGCAACGGAAGTAATATCGCTTCACCCCTCATACATAACTCGCCGTAGGTATATTTTACCTCTTCATCAATTCTAACGGCGTGGCAAGACCCATGGACGCTCGTCTGGGCCAAGTCGTCCTCGATATCTTCTCAGGAGGAAGAGAAGATTCTGGATCGTATGTTCTCGCCGTTTTTAATGACGTTTAGCTAAATTTGACCGATACGCGCCACATTTTCTAGGGATCCAGAGAATGATTTTGAATTGTTGTACCCTGCTTATTTCGCCGGGTTTTCTCTCGCCTTATTTACGTCTGAAATTGTTCTGAGGACGAAATCTGTCCAAAATCTCTTGGCGCATTTACGACACCCGCGCGACGAAGATAATGAAGTGGAAGAGGACGAGGGCGGTGAGGAAGGAGGGACGTCGTTGGATAATAAATCGTTATCGCAGCGGAGTACACCGATTGTGAATTATAACGGCGGACCTTGTATCTTCACGTACAAGGTTCTTCGCTTGATTGGATGTTTGGCACTTGTTGGGTTGACGCTGGTTTCTTTGGCTATGAACGAGCGACGTCTAGAGAGCGCACCAAGGAGTGAATTTGGAAATTATAGGGAAGGTCAGCCCAGATTATCGGCGTACAGGACATTCGCCACTGGTAACGAAGGGAGGGAAACCTCATTATGCCTCACATATGTACGTATTCACATCTTCAGGCAAAAACCTGCTTCTAATCCTTGTATAGATCTATGCATCTTTCCTTGCCCTACTCGCCGTGGCGGTCAACACCCGATGGGCCAAAGTCGCCAACAAGCACCTCGTATGCCTCCTACTCTTCACCTGGTTCATCTTCGCACATCGAGACTTCTGGCCCCTTGCGACCTTCCATCTTCATCCACTAGACTTATGGGACGAACTCCTTTGGGTGAAAATGATTGTGTTGACGTTTGTCGCTGTCGTCATTCCTCTCGTCATACCGCGTCAATACGTACCTCTTGATCCCAAGGTAAGCACCCAAACAGAACTCCGACAGTATAACCCGAAAACTAATGTTTATATGGACAGAATCCAACAGACGTGCCAAACCCTGAACAAACCGCCTCATTCATCTCACTTCTCTCCTTCTCGTTCCTCGACCCACTCGTCTCAGCAGCATATCACGTCCCGCACCTCCCTGCGGAGCAATTCCCACCTCTAGCAGATTATGATTGCTCAAAGGTTTTGAAGAAACGTGGATTTAGACATATTGATCGCTTTTCTGGAGCGCGGAAGGAACATTTGTTCTTTTCACTTCTGCGGATCTTTAGTGAGTTGCTAGCGATTCAGCCAGTCTGAGAGATGATTATGCTATACTAATTGACGCGAAGGTCGGGAGTATGTCATTATAACCGTGATGATTCTGCTCAAGGTTACGGGCATGTTCCTAAGTCCCATTGGAATTAATAAGTTGCTAAGGTATGATAGCACGTTATAGCAAGGCGACTGAAGAAATTCATAGATTTGCAGCTACCTGGAATCTGGGGAGCGCTCTGGTTCAGTCCGGCCTTGGTGAGAAACGCATAACCAAAGAAATTACATGGCATGGCTGACCTGAATTTGATTAAAGGTTTTGGATTTCGTGGCTGTTCTTGGGACCGATGTTGCGCGCGATCGCCTCAGAGTGGTACATGTACTACACTGTGGGTCTTCGCGGCGAAATTTTCCCTACTTGTATGTTTCTTGGCACTGACGCATACTCGTAATAGTGCCATGTATCAGTGCAAGCCGAATCAATCATCATGCAGCTCGTCCTCGAACATGCACTACGAATTCGTATGAAAGCCGAAGTATCTTCAGCCAAACGTAAACCTGCTTCTGTATCAGCTGAACGGAACAGTGCTACTGAGGCCGACACACCAAAGCCCAATCGTGCCGCCAATGTCAATCTGGCGGGAAGAGTGAATAACTTGGTGACCACTGACCTGTCTAACGTCATTTGGGGGAGAGATTTTGTGCTGATCGGTAAGTTCAGACGTAATATAATGTGCAAACGATGAATATTAATTCTGTTCGTACCAGTCGTTCAAGGTCCTCTGGTAATTGGACTTAGTATTTATTTCCTGTATCGTATTCTAGGAGAGAGGTGCATATACCTATTCGTAATTGCCTAGTATCGCGAACTCACTATCATCTCAGTGCCTTCGCAGGACTGGTTGTAATGATAGTTCTCTTCCCTCTACCGGGATACATTACAAATCTAAGCCAAGCAGCACAAATAAAGAGAATGCAGAAGGTGGGAAACCCGAACTTTCGTACAATTTTACGTATCTGACTAACAGATATGCTATAGACTGATTCTCGAGTCAGATTTATCACAGAGAGTATGTTCTTGTCCCCCCATATTCAGATTTTGCATTTGACTTAGTATATTAGCTTTGACTTCTATTAGAATGATCAAGCTTTTTGGATGGGAGAACAATACGCAACAGAAGATTTTCAAGAAACGGAGCAAAGAACTCAAGTGGACTCAAGTTAAGCGTATTATGGACTTAGCGAACTCTACAATCAAGTATGCTGTCTCTTTATTAGACGTAAGGAAAGCTGTTAAACTAATTCTGTACAGCTTTGTTATCCCTTTGTTGACAATGGTGACGACGTTCGCGACATATGTAAGTCTTCTCTTCGCACATCGTGATAGCTCATGCTGACCTGAATCAATTTAGACGCTTGTCATGAAGCGAGAGTTGACAGGTTCGTCGAACGTTTCTCATCAAAGCTCTGTCTGACTTTCTGTTTCAGCTTCTGCTGTTTTCTCTTCTATGGCTGGTGAGTGTCGTTTAATACATGGGATCAATCTTCTACTCACGATTATCTCTGTTGCAGTTTTCACCATCCTTACGGAGCAAATGCGCGAGGTTTTCCGCCGTATTCCACATTCCGTTCAAGGTACTGTACTATAGCTATTGTTACTTAAGACTCCCCCACTCACGAATGGAAATAGCGAAGGTTTCTCTTGAGCGTGTTGCTGAGTATCTCGAAGAAACAGAGCTATTGGACTCTTTCCGCGAATGGAAGCCGAAGAACAGTCGACGAACAAGTGGAAGGACTATTGGGTCTAGGAATCAGGATGCTATTGGTTTTTCGAACGCTTCATTCGTCTGGACTGATGCGGATGCAGCACAAGAGGATCTGGACCGACATTTCCGACTGTCTGTGGAAGGAGAGCTGACTTTCAAACAGGGCGAACTGAATATGATCATTGGACCATCAGGATCTGGAAAATCATCTTTGCTCATGGCTTTACTGGGTGCGTTTCTCGGTTGCACGAACCTTCCGCATCGACTCACTTTGTATTAGGTGAGATGCACTACGTCCCACTAGGATCCGAGTCTTGGTTCAGCCTTCCACGTCAAAAGGGCGTTGCATTTGCCGCACAAGAATCATGGGTACAGAACGACACTGTAAGAGAGAACATTCTAACTGGAGCTCCGTACGATGAAGAGAGATTCAAAAAAGGTAAGCTATTATACTTTCGTATGCCTCGGAAGCATTCGCCTAACTATTTATACAGTCCTCTACCAATGCGGTTTGGAACGCGATCTTGGCCTATTCGAAGCTGGTGACTTGACAGAAGTTGGAGAAAGAGGTATAACTTTGAGGTAAGTACCCTAGGTGCTTGGGCGTGATCCATTTATCTCACAGTACTGTTTGCAGTGGTGGTCAAAAGGTATTCCTGGGTATCTCATGTATTTGGGTAGCTCTAACCTGCCCACAGGCTAGATTAACGTTGGCGCGAGCTGTGTACTCCTCAGCCGAGATACTACTACTGGATGACGTTCTTGCTGCTTTGGATGTCCACACCTCGCGGTGGATAGTAGAGAAGTGCTTCAAGGGTGACCTGGTTAAAGGACGAACAATCCTCCTAGTCGTATGTAATTGTATATTTCTGCGTTTGCTACTGATTCTCACAAGTTCTCGTTGAACATAGACGCATAATATCGACCTCGTCCTGCCCTATGCATCCTACGTTGTGTCATTAGAGGCAGATGGACGTGCTTCGGGTCGAGTTCCAGATGTTGAAGCAGCGGACGTTAAGAAAGATCAATTAGAAGTCGATAAACTTATAGAACCGCTCAGTTGGGAAGTTAGACGAGACGAAAAGTCTACCAGTTCGGGAACACCAGGAGCAGATGGAAAGCTTGTACAAGCCGAGGAAATCGCTGTTGGTCACGTCAGCTGGGAATCAAGTAAGTTGTTTTGTCCCGTTCCATTGTGTTGCGCCGACTCACTATTCGTATCCAGTATTCTTCTATGTCACTAGTATCGGAGGTCCATTATTCTGGATAAGCTTCCTTTTGTCTACGCTTCTCGTTCGTGTGGCAGAGGTCATGCGAACTTGGTTTCTTGGGTATTGGGCTACACAATATGAGACACACGATCCTTCGGAAGTTTCTATCACCAAGTAGGCTTGGCCCCAATTCCGTATTTACCATAGTGCTTAATTTTGCTTAGAAACCTGGCGGTCCTGTGTGCGATAATAACTTCGGGGGTAGTCCTGTACGATACTGTGATGCTAGCTTTTGGTGCTGGCTAATTTCTAAATTAGGTATTTCTTCTCCACGTTTATATTTATACATGGTGGTATGAGAGCGTCGAGATTTATCCATGACGAACTCATCTCGGCTGTCCTGGGTACGTTGTCAATTATACGCCATTATACATGAACTCTGATTAGATGTCCCGCAGGCACTACTTTACGGTACGTTGGACTAATGTACTTGGGACACACCGGTTATCTCATAAAATACCCAGGTGGCTTGATAGTACACCGACCGGTCGGATCATTGCTCGGTGCACACAGGATATCAAACAAGGTGGGAGCAGCTCATCTCTCTTACATACTGTATTTAAAATATTTCGTTCAGTCGACGGCCCAGTGAATCTACGACTTGGACGAGCGATAGAACTGTCGTTCACGCTCCTAGTCGACTTCATAGCAATAGTAGCGATGTCGCCTATTATCCTTTTTCCTGGGGCATTGGTAGCAGTGCTTGGCTCGTGGTGTGGGCGTATTTACATCAAGGCGCAGCTTTCGGTCAAGCGCGAGATGTCAAATGCGAGATCTCCTGTGCTGAATCATATTGGCGCTGTTATGGCTGGTCTCGTGTCTATTCGTGCATATGGCGCTCAAAAAGCATTCAAGAAGGAATCGCTTAATCGCATTAACACTTTCACGCGATGTTCAAGGATATTTTTTGATTTAAACAGGCGAGTCTTCTGTCGGCCGCCGCCTTAGATTATTACGTCTTATATTTAATGCTTTGTTTTCTATTAGATGGGTGGCCCTTCGAATTCAAGTGTTAGGCGCGATATTCTCTTCTGCACTGGCTGCCTACCTCGTGTACGGAGATGACCATGGACCTGGAACCGCTAGCGACACAGGGTTCTCCCTCAACTTAGCAGGTAAGTCCACCCGGTACTTCGGGATTGGGTCAAGTAATCACTCTTCAATCCAGTCGGATTTAGTACAATGATTCTCTCGTGGATAAGAGCTCTCAATGACTACGAGGTTTCTGGTATGTTCGTTCTTACCTGAGTCTACACTTTGTGTTGATGCGGGTCTATAGGCAATAGGTAGCTAACTCACTTAAGTCCGTCGGATAAGTAGCTTAACCTTACCACCGTAGCTTGGAGCGTATCAAAGGGTATATTGACATAGAGCAAGAGCCAAAGCCTAATGCGAAAGGCGTTCCTCCGGCTTATTGGCCATCAAGTGGAAGCCTACAAGTTGAGAAGCTTAAGGCTCGCTACTCCCCTGATGGACCGGAGGTTCTCCATGACATTTCTTTCGCTATCAAACCTGGCGAGCGGATTGGTGTAGGTGAGAAGAATCACGCTGTAGCCGGTAGACGCCTTACTGAAAGGAGTTTGTAGTTGGCCGTACTGGGAGCGGGAAGGTATTATTTACACGCGTCTAACCAAATAGTCGAAAATTTCACTGAACGTGCCTCCAGAGCTCCCTCACGCTGTCCCTTCTCAGGTGCATTTACATCGAAGGAGACGTCTTTTACGATGGCTTGCGGACGAGCGATGTTAACCTGGACGCATTACGCCAGCATATTACGATCATTCCTCAAGCTGTACGTATTTATCAAACTCGTGCCCTGTTCTAGAACTTGACTGACTGCCAAATATTTGTATCGTCTTAGCCCGAGCTGCTTCGAGGAACTCTGCGGGACAACCTGGATCCGACAGGTGAACATGATGACGCGACGCTCAATGCTGCTCTACGATCAGCAGGTCTTTTCTCGCTTCAAAGTGAAGACAACGAGCGTAGAATTACTCTCGACACCCAGATCGCATCGGGTGGCTCAAACGTCTCCGTCGGTCAACGACAAGTCCTAGCGCTTGCCCGAGCGATTGTGCGCAAGAGTAAATTACTCATTCTTGATGAAGGTGAGTCTTGGTATACTCCAAAACGAAATATCGAGCATCTTTTTCTAATTCAAAGACGCTCGTGCCCAGCCACATCGGCCATCGATTATGCTACAGACGCCGTTATCCAGAAATCGTTGCGGACGGAACTTAGCAAAGATGTAACTTGTATCACTATCGCCCATCGGTTGCAAACTATCATGGATGCTGATAAAATCGTGAGTTAGAATATACAGAAGTATTGATGGATGGAGCAATTAATCTAAGATTTATACAGATGGTATTGGACGCTGGAAGAATAGTTGAGTTTGATTCGCCACACAATTTACTTGAGAAGGAGGGCGGATACTTTAAATCACTTGTGGATGAGAGCGGAGACCGTGACGCACTGTATGCAATGACGTCGTCGAAAAAGGACTCAAACTAGCGCATTTCTCCGTGCGCTTAGGGTTTAACTAGATACGAGCTTGTATAGATTGTTCAGAGCAAGTAGGGCCGATAGTGTGGTCCACCCCGGCTGCAATGCTAAATTGCTAATCTTGTATTTACGGGACATGAGAGTGGAGCTTCACATCACGACTGCCTCGTGGCAAGGAGATCACGGGCGCTCCGACCCCCAGACTTTCAGACACGAGGCATGCCGCATAGTAAGCTATTATTGGCTAGGAGCAAGAACAGAAACGCCGAGCCAACAGGTTCCTACAAAAGAAAAACAAAATACCAGTAACTCGGATTTTGATTAGTTCTATTCGGACTTTGTAAGGTGGAAAACAAATAAGTAGCCTTTATCTTCATTATATTGAATAGACATCCTTCTATCAACTAAGTGTCAAGCCCATTTCACTTTACACTCCATAAGTTTTTTCATAAAGAACAAAAGAACATTTCCATGAAAGTCTTATTACTTTTATTAAAGAATTATTACCAATGTAAATCGAGGTAGAATCCCATAATAGCCGCAAAGCAACGGACATAAGCGCATAAGTCATCTCCGAGGAGGGCGTCGTCTCTGCCACTTCCAACGAGATACGGCATGGACAAGTTCTCACCTGTATTTTACCTTCTGCTCGCCTCGGTATCGGACCTCGGTGCCTTTGTAGTTCCTGGTGGAGTCATGCGAATAACACTCAACAATTGTCGAAGGACTTCCCCCAGGACTCAGGAGTCAATTTTCCTTATTCATACAGTGAAGTTAACAATAACAAAGCGAGAAGTGTGAGAAGCACTGTGCTCATCGAGACTAGACTTAACGCAGAGCGTGGACTCGGGCTAATACTCATCGTTTAGAAGCTCTTTAAGTCGGGTGAATGGTACTGCATCTCTTCCTCTCTCAGGCTGTCGAGAAAGCGAAAACAATCCTCCTATGCATTGAGTAAACACGTCAAGCCTAGTAGCGTGTATGTACAATATTCCATAAGTCATACATGATACAGTTACTACATTGGGATTCGAGAAGCCGTGCGGATGTAAAAACCATTGTGAAGAAGGCAAAAGAGAAAAGGAAAAGGCTGATGCAACAAAAGGAAAGAGAGAAGAAAGAGCGCAGCTCCCTCCAATATTGGTCGGACCACAGGCCCTCAGTTCAGAGGCTTGCCTTCCTCATACGGATGTTGCCTGCACCACGACTTGTGGAATTTCCAATCCCTCCTTTGGTGCGCATCGCCGCAATACCACGCTCCACGGCAGGCACCGCAGGTCTTAGTCGCTTCCAGAGGACACAACTCGCACGGGCGGTCCAGCGCTGTCGATGCAAGCAAATTACGCAAAACACGGAGTTCGGGTCGGTCATTAGAAGATGTAGGCGAGCTTTTTCCGAGATTAGGGAACATCCAGTCTTCGGAGAGCCCAAAACGTCGGATGATAATGCTCTGCGCCACCGCGGGCTCTTCGAGGCGCTTCGAGCGAATGAGTTGCCTTGCTTCGTCGCACAACGGATGTGGGAGACGATAATCCTGTGAGTCGAACTGTAATCGCAATGGCGTCGGAACGGGCGTGTAACGCGCATTTAGTAGGGCACCCATGAACAGGTCTTGCTGCTCCTGGGCAGAGGTAAACTGGCCTGCAAACTCGGGGTTCTCAAATTTTAGGATCATCCTGTTCGGCGGCGGTGGCATAACTTCCGGTGCAAGCTCGACGTGCGTGATCTTTCCGGTGCCCTTGTCGACGAGTAGTGCACCAGCCGATAGAAGTCGCGGTGAGTCCTCGATGTGTAACGAGATGTGGCGTGCTTGCGCAACCGTTCGAAAGAACATTCGGAAGTCCTTGATCCAGCCCGCGTGGTTGAATTTCTCCGCTCCACGATGCGCATATGCAAACCCGCGCAAGACGTACGCTTCGAGCAGGCAAGGAAGTGGGTGCGTCCCCCGACCTTCAAGAAAAGCATTTTGCTCCCCCTCCGACCATTCTTCGAGTTCTCCTGATCCGCCGATCACCCATTCAACTAGTGGGAGAAAGCTAGACATGTACATGAAATTCGGTGCATGCGAAAGCGTCGTGCGGCGGGTTGTTGGACAGTGCAATACGACAACGGTAGACGATGCGACGTGATCAGTACATACGCCGCGTCCGGGACTATCTGGTGTAATGCGAGCATAATGATATTGGGTAACACGGACGTAGTCCGTTTTGTGTACTAGCACACCACCTGGGCGCGTGGAAAGATCTGCTCGGCCAAGGGTAAGCGACGACACATCGAGGACCATTACGGGGATCTGGGTTTGTGTTGCGTTGGCCTGGGGCGAGCTGGACTGAAGCGTAGCTAGGCTTATTGGCTTTGCCTCGACTGCGCTGCAGTGCAGGGTCGCTGCAGACCACCAGGAGGACTATACGAAGAACATGCGGAGAAAACGTGTTCGCGGGGCTGCAGTTAGGTCATCCATCCGGCTCGGCGGGGTTCCAACGCATTCGCTTGAACAACAAGGAATGTAGAGACTTTTTGGTAGGTTCCCGAGCGTCTTATATTGATCTTCAATAGATAATCCTTAAGGCACTTGAAGGATACACCCGATTAGCATCCCAGCTCGTCGATCCATTGTTGAACAGCAAGCGAGGTGGTCGGAACATTCCTTGACTCCACATCTGTGGCATTTTCGCATGTTTCCGCATAATCTGCACCTTCCTTCACGAGTCTGCTTGTTTTAAGCACGCCGCCAGCAGACTTCCGTTCCAGAACAAGGACTGGGAATTTGGGTTCGAATGTGAACTCGGGTAGCGGTAATGGTAGCCGCTCGGCGAGGCCTGGCCAATTTGAAAGGCTTGCGCACGAGAAGGGCGGTGAGTCTAGAATAAGAGCGTACGAGGGATGCGAAGATACGTAAGTTTGAGCAATTAGACAGCTGAGTTGGCCTGCGTATAAAATGGGTGGGAACGGGATCCCAGTCTCCCGGATGAGGGTCCGTAGGGCTAGCATTTAAATCAGTAAAAATTCCAATACGCGGCACAAAGGCCTGGACAAACGCACTCGAAGCTAGGCGGTCCATGACGATTAACCCCGAGCCAGATGTATGCGTTCTGAGGGGAAGGTCGAATTGGTAGCTCATAAAACCACGAGAAGCAGCTTCTGCAGATAGCCTGCCGCCGAGTCTATGGAAAATGAACAAATGAATATACTTCACATGAAATTAATTAATAAGATCGTATTAACGGAGATCTCACGAAAGAAAGGCGCCGCCGTCGCCCTCAAGTTCTGAGGATCCCACAAATACGAGGGGAACAGGTGCGTGGCGAGGCGCTGTGGCGGCGGGAGTGTGCTCGACGACGAGTGCACCGTCTGGACGTCGCGTTTTCGAGCTTTCCCATCTTCTGAACTGCTTACACGCAGAATGACTGTTTCGCAAGTTTATGAATGTTGCAAATGAATTTCTTGCATAAAAGTGAAGTGCCATGGACATCGTAGTCGAAGTGCAAGGGAAACGAGTCATGTCACGCCTTGCTCTCTTACCACGACTACGACTACGACCAGCTCACGTCGTGCACCCTCGTTCCTTCCACTTCTGCTCACCGCGGTCAATGGACGCAGTCATTCAGCCCAATGGTGACAAAATACGCGTCCTGTCGCACATACAGTATGACACCTCTGACTCACTAACGCCATCTTCTGTGCTGTCATGCCCTCTTGACCAGTTCCGACACTGGTTCACTGAAGCACAGTCATACGTCAAGGAGCCCGAAGCAATGTCTCTTTCAACCGCTACGGCATCAGGCATTCCTTCTTCACGCTTCGTCTTACTGAAGCAGGTCGACTCTCGCGGGTTTGTCTTCTTTACAAACTACACTTCGCGCAAGTCTCGCGAGTTAGACGAAAATCCGCATGCTGCACTCGCATTATACTGGCAGGAAATGCATCGCCAAATACGTGTCGTAGGGCGAGTAGAGCGTGTGAGCAAGGAGGAGAGTACAGAATACTTCCGTACCCGTCCACTCGGAAGTCGAATTGGTGCTTGGGCAAGCCCACAGAGCAGTGTCATCGCGGAAGGCGAGATTTCTCAGCGATTCCAAGAGACGCGAGAAAAATTTGGCGTCAAGGATGGCCAGACAGATGAAGCTGACATCCCGCTCCCTGATTTCTGGGGCGGATGGCGTGTAATACCACTGTATGCCAATTTATCTTCCTGTCATTTTACATTCCTTATAACCATTCAATAGAGAAGTCGAGTTCTGGGCGGGGAAGCCTTCAAGACTACACGATCGGGTACGTTACACCCGGACGACGGAAATAAACGGAGAATGGAAAATAGAACGCATAGCACCTTAGAACAATCGCAGAAGACCAATCAAGATATATGTCGGAAATACATGTAAAATTATCAGATAATTGTCCGACATACGACGCCAGCGCTCGAGAAGGATACCTTTGATAACTTTGTTGCTGCTAATTTTTTTGTCCTAGTTGAAGACCTTTACAATGGCCCATAGCTTGGACAGCATGAATACTTTCGCTTGGCTTTCTAGTTAAAGAACCCGGATTCAGAGGCTGTGATGGCTCTTTCTTGAGTATACTATATGCAAATCAGCCTCTGCTTGCAATACCGTCGCAATTGTATAGGCCTAGCTAATCTGTCGAACTGTGGTCTTTGGTGCCCGTGCTGTAGCCTACTATCTATGTCTCATCCTGACTATGCCAGACTTGTCTGGTATGATGGCTTAGTCTCTTATATACTATTCTCAATACGCGAGAGAAATTAACCAGAACGAAGCAACTAGAAATATTATGCAAATTCTTGGATCTCAAAATAGAACCGATTAACTAATTGGTCAGCACTTCCGACACCTGTTCGGCCCGTTGCAAACGCTACTAATTTCACAGTATAATATAACGCTCACGCCCCCGTCACAAAATCGAATGCAGGTCTAAACAGCACAACGTGTCCCCGAAACAAAATGTGTTACGGGAAGGACACTAAAAGCAAATCAAGCGCCGATGTGAACTAAGTTGACCCATCTCTCAACTTGGATACCATCCCGTGCTTTCAACTCTAAAGCTGCTTTTCGGAGACCAGTAGCCGCCCGATTATACCTCACCTCGCTCTCATCATGTGTTCATATACAGTCTTGGCAAACGGTGACCGACCCCCATCAGATAGCTCCCTCATTGAGCCGATCACGCTTTGAAATCCACAGAACTGTATTGCTGCAGCAAGGTGAAGGACTTCATTGTAAATGCCATCTTTGGCTTGTTCAGCAGTGTGGCAGGGTGAGAGGAATGCGAACTCTACATTCGGAATATTACCCTAGACAATGTCAAGTAAAATCAGTCTATGGTCCAGTCTGTAGACCTTCATGCAGTCCTTATTGTAACAGAGAAGCTTGAAGAAAGATTTGAAAGGCTTTGAATCTAGGTTTCCATGGCAAACAAAATGGACCTATGTTTTTGTGCAGAGTGCATGAATAACTGTATCTCAAGATGCCTTTTTAAGGAGCGATTCAGTGCTCATGCCACAGTTCTTAATATTAATATTGTGGATTTCTTGTCTATTTGACGGAAATGAGCCATCCTGGGCTCCCCGATGACAAGCACTGTTGGTTTTCCACAGTTCCCATATAATCGTGCATTGATGAGTGCTCCGAGTATTAGAGTATACAATGAGGTGAATTTGTCTCAGAAGTTGATTCTTGCCAGACCCCTTGCCCTGCTGCTTGTCAGTTGTTGTTGCACATCTATACTCAGTCAATCAGCCAATTTCAAAATTATTCCTTGCTTGAAGCAAGTAATTTTGATAGTTCCTTCTTTCTTTACGAGCTAAACCCCACTAAAGCTTCTGCAGAGCAAACACACAATAAAAGGTGAATTTATCAGCTGTTCATCTACAGTGCTTACATTGTTGTGACTTCGCAGCATTGCTGTAATGCTTTAGACGACAGTACTAGTATCCTATAAATCCTCAAACTACTATTTAGTGCAATACAGTAAACAAGCCGAGGATTACAGGAGCCACTACAGATTAAATGCAAATATTTCGGAAAGGGGAACTAAACATGTTAGCTTACGGGTCAGTACTTAGGGAATGCTGTGCTAATTTGACCACCAGTCAAGCACCAATGTGCACCAAGTTAACCCATTGCTCTGTTTGCACTCCGTCCTGATTCCGCAATTCCAAAACCGCTTTGCGAATTGCAGCTGCAGACCGCTTATGAATCACCTCACCATCTTTACAGCCCGCCATGTATGAATAAACTTCTCTAGCAAGCAGAGGGCCATCCGGATCGTACATTTCCCCCACATCGTCCCAATCACGCTTCGGAAACCACAAAACTGCACAGCGGCAGCTAAGTGGAGAACTTCATCGTATGAGCCAGATGGATCCTGTTCTGCGGTGTGACAGGCAGATAGAAATGCAAACTCAGCATTTGGAAGGTTAGCTCGGATGATATCGAGCAATGTCAATCCCGCGTCAGAGAGCTTGAAAGAAGAGTCAAATGGCCCTGATCCGAGATGCCCGTGGCATGCGAAATGTACCCACGTGACTTTTTGCAGACGTTTCAACGAGTCGCCCTTTCATTGAGAAACACTGCGTGAGATGAAATGTACCTCTGCGTCTCGCTGCAAACGGCACGGACTTCAGCTTCAGTCATCTGAAGAGTGATGGTGTCGCCAACAATGAGCATTCTAGGTTTGTCAATGTTTTCCCTTGACTCGGACCTGGCATTGATAAGAGCACCAAGCGTCGGGGTATACGATGATACATAATCGTCCAATAAATACTTCATGGTGCCATTCGTGCCCTCAAATGGCCCTGCTGCATGGAAAGGAAGAGCAGAAAGCACAGACGTAGGGTACCACCAAATCCGCGATCCCTCAGCTATCCCGAGCTCCTTAAGTTTGTTGACGACTTTGGAGACGACCCTATCCCATAGCGTCTTCATTACTCGGCAGAGTATCTCGTCATATTCTAACGAAGAAGCTCTGGAACGAGCTCGTTTTCCTAAAAGCTCACCACACAGCTTCATGCTGTCTTTGTAGAACTCTCCATCTAATGGGACGCAGACCACCGGTAGATCCTCCGGGGCCAGAGCAATGAGCGCATCCGATCGATATGTACAATGATTGAGCACAATCAGCGGACCCTCCAATGCTGCCTGTTGGAGTATCTTAAACGGCGTAGCTGTAAGAAAATCCTCGAACCCAGGAATTTGTCGTATCTCATTGATAATCCCTTCCTGCTCGTTAGAGAGCTGCTTCTTCAGTCTCAGCTTCTCCTCGAATAACGTACGTTCTCTATGCAAGTCCAGTACAGATGTCCTGCGGCTCCTGTCTGAATCAGACTGTAACCCAGTATGTAATGTTGCAAGATTCTCCAGCTGGTGGCTAACGTTCCTGAACTTGTCAGCAAGCTCCCTATTTATGTCTGCAAGGTGATCAAGAGGTGTCCTGAAACCACGCATCTGTGACCAAAGTAAACACCTTCCTTGCTCAAGTATCTCTATAGCCTCTTCGAGCCTATTTTGCTGTACAGCAAAGGCAGCTGCATCTAATGTGAGCATTCCGTAGTCCAATTTCTCTCTCAAGAAATCGTGTTGTGCATGAAGAGTGGGGTTAATAATAATCGCACGCTGTAGGAGCGATACTACCATCTTGTAAGCTCTAGATGTGCTGTGGTGAGCATGACTTCGAGCATGGCTTGCCCAATGGCCAGCAACCTCAAGGCGTGTCACCAGGCTGGAAAACTCATATCCTGTAGCACGTTCGCGCAATCGCATACACTCCTCAAAATCGTCAATGGTTCCAAACTTCTTGAATCGTGAATATAGAGAGAAAGCGAGGTTTGCAAGTGACATGGAAAGATTAGGATGGCCTTCTGCAAGGAGGTCCAGAGCAGCGCGGTGATGCTCGATGACCTCATCAAGGTCCTCGGTCCGTCATGCTGTAGAAATCGAACTTGGAGGGAAGCTGCAAGGTTATTCAAGGTTATGGGACGACTGGGATGGCCATCAGGATGAAATAGCAGGGTAGCACGATGATGTTTAATAGCCTCATCCAGATCCGCAGACCGTCCATAGTGTCGAAATCGTGTTCCGAAGGAAGTGGCGAGGTTATTCAGAGGAATATATCGATTGGGATGGCCATCAGGGCGAAGTTGCAGAGCAGCACGGCCATACTCGATGGATTTATCAATATCCGCGATCCGTCCATACTGTTCGAATCGTATTCGAAGAGAAGATGCGAGGTTATTGAGAGACTCGGTACGATTCGGATTGCTGTCAGGATAAAGTGCTAGGCCAGTACAAAAAAGTTTGATGGCATCATCAAGGTCTGCGGTTCGACCGTGCTGGTTAAATCGAATTATGAGGGAAACTCCGAGATTATTCAGACACGCGGAACGCTTCGGATAGCCAATGGGGCACACAGCTAAAGCAGCACGATGGTGTACTATGGCCTCATCGAGGTCTGCAGCCCGACCACGCTGTTCAAATCGTGTTCGGAGGGAACCTGCAAGATTATTTAGAGTTATAAGACGATTAGGATGGGTGCTGGAGAGAAGTTCCAGAGCAGCACGATAGTGCTCGATGGCCTCATCGAGGTCCGCAGCTTGCCCATGCTGATCAAATCGCATTTCGAGTGAGACTGAAAGGCTAGTCAGGGACACGTAACGTTCTGGATGACCTTTGGGAGAAAGTTGCAGGGCAGCACGATGGTGACCAATCGCTTCATCAAGATCAGCAGCTTTGCCATGCTGATTGAATCGAATTTGAAGTGAAGCTGCAAGGTTGTTCAGAGATGAGGAACGATTGGAATGGCCATTTGGTTGAAGTTCCAAGGCAGTCCGAACATACTCGATGGCTTCATCGAGGTCTGTTGTTTGTCCATGCTGTTGAAATCGAATTCGAAGGCAATTTGCAAGGTTATTCAGAGATGCGGAATAATTGGGATGACGACTGTTGCAGCAAAGTTTTAGGGAAGCACGAAGATGTTCGATGGCATCGTCAAGGTCTGCAGTCCGTCCGTCTTGTATATATCGAGTTGTAAGGGAAGTTGCAAGGTTGCTCAAAGATTTGAACCGATCGGGATGGCCACTGGGGAGAAGCTCCAGGGCAGCACGATGAAGTCCGATGGCCTCATCTAGGTCTGCAGCCTGTCCGTGCTGTTCAAATCGAGTTGAAAGGGAAGAGGCAAGGTTATTCAGGGACGCGGAGCGGTCGGAATGGCCATCGGGGCGGAGTTGTAAGGCAGCGCGAAAATGCCAGACGGCGTCATCAAGGTCCGCGAGCTGGCCAAACTGATGAAATCGAGTTTGAAGTGAACCTGCAAGGCTATCCAGTGATGAGCAGCGGTCGGGGTGGCCATCCGGGCAGAACTCCAAGGCGGTACGGCAAAACTTGATTGCTTCCTCTAGATCTCCTATTTTCCCATATTGCTCGAATCGAACACAAAGGACATTACCAAGATCGTTCAACGTCTGGATTCATTTTGGATGTCTTTCAGGCAAAAGGCCGAGTATGATTCGGTAATGAAAGATAGACTTGTCGAGTTCTTCCTGCTCTGATGACTGTTCAAAGCTCTCCCAGTGGTCAAGGGCCAGTCGGCGGAGTACATGACAAAGCAATTCGAGGTCCACATAGTACGTCATGTTAGTGAGGAAACGCAATATAGCTTGACAATAGGCTTCCGATACTCTGTCTGAGCTGTGTGATCAGGAAAAAGGGAAGTAAACAAACTACGAGGGATGCATTACCTGAAGTCCTCCTTTGAACCTGAACTCAGCTCGTCTTATCCACTGCTGTCTACACAAAGATGTCTCTGCAATTCTATGGACCTCCCCCGTTACCACTCGTTTGTATGTGAGATGAAGAGACTAACCTACAAAAAAATAGGTGAACGGCGAATGCTGGGCTGGGCGAGTGAATGCAATGGACAGCATCTGCAGTAGAACCTGGCACTTGATCTGACTGTTCAACACGACACCATTCTTGGGAGCAGAAAGCAGTGCTTATATACTGTACTGGCAGCTATGCTGGAGTATATTGAAGCTGTGAGAAGGGTTTGAAGCTCAGGACAATGCAAGGTTTAATGAGAAGGGACAAAGGCATACAACACAATTCACTCAATAACCAGGGCCACACGACTTTGAATTCACAAAGATTTTATTATATAGTCTATGCTAAAATTCGTCACTATGAAAATATGAAAAGAACTGGGCGATTTCTGAAAGAGGATGAAATCACTAGAAGAATGGCAGCAACTAAAATACAGAAACTTACCCTTTCTACCCCTTTCTTGAGTCTGTGGCAACACATAGATGCTTTTCATCCAAAACTGCAGATAAAGATAGTTTCATGCCCAAAGTTGTAACCATGCACACAACATTGCACATAATAAGAAATAGTCAAAGGTTTCATAGCGTTGAGGATCTGAGCTGTAATGATTGATCAGAATGCTGGTTTGAGAAAGTGAACAAAGGATCACAAAAATGTTACAGACGTTCGCTAGACATAGATCTTGAAATGAAATTCAGGCAACTCAATAGGAATGAGTTCCGAATCGAGGGCAGTGCTGTGCTGCATTAATATTGTATTTGGCCTGCTCAGCACGACTAAACACATTGTATATGTTTTTTGAAAGCAAGCTGGAGCAACCTATCATAATATAAAGACATCAGAGTAAGGTACAATACTCACACAATGCTCACAAACAGGAAACAGTGAGTGGAGGCAGATTATAGGCAATGTCTTCCCACCCTGTTAACGACATATCTGTGTGCAACAGGTGGACAGCTGTGAGTATCAGGACGAACATAAAGGTCAACGACAAAAACGCGTCGTTTAAAAAGCCGAGAATTACCAAATCAGGTAGTAGGACACGCATTTATTACTTTGATCTATAGCTTACTGTTAACTCGGGAGCCCAAGTTACTGTCTGGAGGAAAAGGCATGCATAGATAAATCTATCTATCCATCTACTTTCAATGAGAGAGACTTGGCGTTTACTTACAACAAGCTTTACAAAAGCGGATACTTGTTGTTTGTACCTAAGGGTTCTTGTTGTTACCTGACTATAGAGGATTTGTATGTATGAAACTAATTACCATGTCTGTTCTAGAGCCAAATTGTTACAGCAGTTCTAGAAATGATGGTAGTTGCATCATTCAACTTTTTTTGCCTCCTGCCTTAATATTTCTTAATTAGGAAAGTTGTATTGGAGCAGCTTTGCATAATAACATTAAAGATTGGTACAGGACCGTCGTTGGAATATCATGTGTTGCATCAGAGAAGTGTACACGCTCTTTCAGCATCCATACTGTCAATCAGATGTTTGAGGGGCTTCATTCAGGCTGTGCCTCGCTCCTTGAATTACTCGCACTTACAGTTGTCGTTAAGATACATTCACTCTTCTACTATTTGTCGTCGATATACAGTAAACCCAATTTATTACAAGATCAATGCTCCAGATACCCGAGCTCAATCCCCTTGATCTGCAAAGCCTGTCCAACGGAAACGAGTTAATCCCTGACATCTGCATTAGCTACAAGCGTGGCTGAAGACTTACAAGCAACTTCGAAGAGAATCGCGAGTTGGAAAAGTCACCTGCGGCAAACCAGAGCTGGGAGATGTGATCAGAGATGGACAGAAAATGTCCTATTATAGGTTACTCACTCCTGGTTGACCAGATGGCTTGTATCCAGCTCGGGTCTCTCCATATTCATCGGTACCAAGCAATTGGCTCGTATTATCAATGGCTTCACGCCCGAATATACGGATTAGTTTATCGCGGAGACGATGCCACCCCGTTCTTTACAAGACGCCGTTTGATAGAAGTCAGGTACGATTACATGTGATAGTGTGAGTAAGGATGAAATACTCACGCAAGTATGATCGCATCAGCATCGAGTCCGAAGCCATCGCTGAACACAACTCTCTTCTCAGTTAGATGATCGATCTCGACTCCCTGCTTGACTTTGACTTGTCCATTAATGATAAGCGCGGCACATCCTACATCAATAACTTCCGGCGACACGTGTCAGAGTAGAATTAACTAAGAACTACGATTGTTTGAAAGTGACTTACAATAACCTACACGTCAATGGCTTAGCTAGGGTTGTTAGGCAGAAAGTGTATGAACTTACCTCCCAGTCGATCAAATGCTTTGGCTAGTATTCCCGCGTTATCCGGTCCAGAATCCAGTTTGAATCCAGCCTTGATCAACCCTTCATGCATCTCTTTGTCGAACTCGTCTGCAAGCGACTGAGACCTCTTTCCTAATTCGAAGAAGGCTCCATTTGATAGCGAAGCGTACACTAGATCCGAGTAGTACACGGGACGGTCTTCTGGGAACACTGGTGCAAGCATTGCACCGAAGTATTTGTCTGAGACGACTAGGCTTGAGGACCGTTGTACCATTGTGACGCTCTGCGCCCCACGAAAGACCAGGTCCTGGCAGACATCCGCAGAAGTGTTTCCTGCACCAACCACAACCACGCGTTGTCCTTTGAAGGGCTCGCCGCCAGGGAATGCGCTAGCGTGAAGGATGGTACCAGAAAAGGAGGAGGATCCCGGAAGTGATGGAGTATGGGATCTCCGATATAGCTCAAAGCCATGACAAGATGTTGTGGATGAAGAGTAATAGGCTTGCCATTGCGGCTCACGGTCAGGTCCCAGCACTTCGTGGTGGAGTCGTATTTCGGAGTCTGTATGGGCGTTGTAGAAGTCCAGACTACGAGATCTTGATTGTCAACATATTGCTCGAGCCAATTTGCTAATTTGTCTCGTGGCGTAAATGTGGGCCAGTTAGATGGAAATGGCTGGTACAGCACTAATCATTCGATAGGTACGAAATCTCAATGCAGAAAAAATAAGGACAAACTCACGGCCGTGGTGTGAGCGGGGAGTATGCAGCGCAAGGGTCGGATACCTGTTCCGCCAGACGTCACCGACACGAGCAGTCTGTTCAATAACGAGAGTTCGGATGCCCATCTGACGAAAACGGGCGGCGACTTGAAGTCCCGTCTGGGCTCCGCCAACTAGTTCATTCATTAAAACAGACTTGCAATAGAAAGCGACTCGACTCACCAATGACAACTTGGGGCTTCTTCTCAATCTCCTCACGCCGTCGCCTATAAACTTCGCCCCAAGTTAGATTGTGTCCATCATACACTCCAGACTCGTTCGCAGTTTCTTCATGGCCTTTCCAGTCACTTAGCATCATCATAACAGTAATCGCCTTCGGAGTATCGCCATCATTTGGATAGTACAAGCGCACGAAGCCCCTTCCGAGTGCCTTAGGTGTCTCAAAATCGAATGCCGATGCTATGACTGGTGTTCCGGGACCGAAGTCGGATGCATGAGGCTTTCCGTGTGGATCTGTGTCCAAGACAAAATTCGAGATTTGTATTTCGCAGAGTGCATTCTGTAGGTAGACACGGATGGCAACATGTCCGTGGCGTGTTTCGAGGCTCGGAGTAAAGATCAGCAGATCACGAAGCCAACAAGACGGGTCAAGGCAATCTAGTAGAGCTTCTATATTTCCTTGACTGACAGCTTCTCCAAACGCTGAGATCCAGGACGAGGCAAGTTCGACATCTAGTTTTACCATTTTTGCAACAAAGTAAGGTCTCCCGAAACATCTGTAACCTGGGGAAGGCCAAGCTGCTTTATAAGATAACAGCTGCTAAATCACCTGCCGTACCCCACGAGAGCAAGTTTTAAGCTGCTGCCGAGGCTTCTGTGACTTCGGCTGCTGAGCGGCATTTTGCAGCAGAATCGCAGAATACCCACAGAGGGAAGAACAGGAGCCTTGGAGAAATGTATGAGAATTCTGAGGCTATTAATAATGTTTTTCTGATCCAGAAGTCTGTTCAGTTGGACAGTCAAGCAATGATACGGCAGGAAATTCAGGTAATCGTTCGGAATAAATAGCACATTGAGGACTATGTAATCTTTGCGGAACGACAGGATGTGTGAAATACGGGGAGATCTGCATTTTCACAGATGAGGAAAGAGAACATGAAGATCGATTGAGAGGGTCAACACGTGAAACTGGCTTGTGGACCCAAATAGTCCCAAACAAGACTAGTATCGGCCATAGGAGGAAATTCATTCTCATGTCCTACAGCGTTTCCGGAAAACTATGAGAGTCGCGTCGTTCTTTTTTTCCCCCTTGCCACCTGCCTTATTTGGCAGGTGACTTGCCAAGCAACATACACATAGCTTGCCATACAACAATAAAGTACTGTAGTTGCCTTCATAAGAGTTTTCAGCCACTCCCTAGTATCATAAGACTAAAATAGCAAATACATTAGGTTAACAGGACTGTCTTAGAGGATGCTAGCTTCTTAACAAGAGTGGTACAATCATTCAAACATGTAACAACAAAAAAGAGGTAATTCTGTCAATATTATAGAGGGAAATTGTAATTGAAAAGGTTCAACATATGTTTTAATGTATAAAAAGGTGTATATTAAGTGGAAAAACAGTACAGAGGTTTTGTATGTGTCTAAACAAAAAGGTGGTTGAAGTCACCTGCCTCATTTGGCAGGTGGCAAGGTGGAAAAAAAAACGACGCGACTCTCATAGTTTTCCGGAAACGCTGTAATGTTTACACACACACAAGGCTCCTAATAATAAATGACAGACGTACACAGATGTTATATTATTTACTATATCCGTATAAGAAAATGAAATGGAAATGGAAAAGCAAAAAGTGTTATGCATCACGAATGCTTAAAGTGCGGATCAAAGTTTCAAACGCCTATGTGAATCAAGTTGACCCATCTCTCAGTCTGAATGCCGTCTCGCGCTCTCAACTCTACAGCCGCTTTGCGAAGCCCGGCAGCTGCCCGCTTAAACCTCGCCTCGTCCTCGTCACAGTCGAGCATGTGCCCGTAAACAGTCTTGGCGAAAAAAGGCCCATCTTCGTCAAGCAGCTCCCACATCGATCCAATCACGCTTCGAAAGCCAGAGAACTGCATCGCCGCAGCGAGATGGAGTACTTCGTCGTGGGCGCCACCATGCGGTTGTTCAGCAGTATGGCAGGCGGAAAGAAACGCGAACTCTGCGTCCGGAAGATTGGCGCGGACAATATCGAGTAAAGTCAGCCCACGGTCGGACACCCTGAATGACGAGTTAAAGGGCTTTGAATCTAGGCCTCCATGACAAACAAAATGGATCCACGTAGTTTCCCGAAGTGCTTTAATCACCGCTTTATGAGATGCTTTGCTGGTAAGTAATTTCGTACTTATCCCACAATTTCGGATGTTGGAAACCTCCTGTTTCGCTGACCGAAGTGAGGTATCCCTGATAGCAAGCAAGTGTCGGTTCTCCTCCATTTCCACCCGATCGTGCATTGATGAGTGCTCCGAGTGTTGGAGTATACGACGAGATGTATTCGTCTAATAGATATTTAGGAGTGCCGTTTGTATCTTCGAATGGGCCTGCCGCGTGGAAAGGGGGCGCAGACAGCACTGAGGTAGGACACCACCATATTCGCGATCCTTCCGCGATCCTGTAGTCCTTCAGCTTGTCAACAACTTTGGAGACAACCCTATCCCACAACATCTTCATTACTCCGACAAGCTTCCTGTTATACTCAGTCGAGTTTGCAGTGAACCGGATCCTCGTTGTCAGGAGCTCCGTGTACAATTCAATGCTGTCGTCGTAGAACTCTGCATCCAATGGGACGCAGACGATGGGTACATCCTCGCGGGAGAGAATGATGATCGCATCGGATCGATATATACTATGGTTGATCACAATCACCGGTCCCTCCGAAGCCGCCTGCTGGAGTACTTTGAATTGTGTCACTGCTAGAAAGCTCTCGAAGCCTGGGATCCGCCGAATCTCGTTGATAAGTTCCTCCTGCTCTTTAGAGAGCTGCCTCTTCAACTTTAGCATCCTGTCAAAGCACTTTTGCCCTGTATCTACATTCGATGCAACTGATCCACTGTCGTTTGTTTTGAAACCAGGCACCAGACCCTCGGAGGACGTTGCAAGGCTCTCTAGCTGACAGCTGATACTTCTGAACCTCTCTGCAAGCTCCTTATTTGTCTCCATAAGCTGATCTACAGTTGTTCTGAACCCGCGCATCTGCGACCAAAGCAAACCCCTTCCTTGCTCGAGCAGCTCTACAGCCTCTTCGAGCCGATCTCCCTCTATAGCATATGCTACTGCGTCTAACGTAAGTGCTTTGAAGTCCACCTTCCGCCTGGCCCGGAGGAAGTCGTGCTGTGCATAAAGCGTGGGACTGGCAATGAGAACACGCTGCAGAAGCAACATCGCGAGCTTGTAAGCTTTAGATGTGGTAGGGTGATCATAGGTGTGAGCAAGTGTAGCCCATATACAGGCTGACTCGAGACGGATCAAAGAGCTAGAAAATTCGTGTTCGGCAGCAGATTCTAGTACTTGTACGCATTCTTCAAAATCCTCGACGAGCCCAAACTTATTGAATCGGGAGAACAACAGAAAATGGAAGAGATTCAAAGATCCTGAACGATCGGGATGACCTTCTGGACAAAGTTCTAGTGCAGCACGATGGAGTTCAATGGCCTCCTCGAGATCTCCTGTCCCTCCTTGCTCAAGACCCGACAAGGACTCCCCAGAGGTAACTTTGACCGCCTCAACACTGAGCACTGACAAACGTGTGAGACTATTGAGAGACATAGAGCGATCAGGATGGCTGTCTGGATGAAGTCCCATCATAACACTTTGAACCGCAATGGCCTTTTTGAGACGCGCTATCCGTTCATGCTGCTCGAATCGCATCTGCAAGGAATGTGCAAGATTACTCATAGACATGGCATGATCAGGATGGCCTTCTGGATGAAGTTCCAAGACAGCACGATGAAGCGCAATGGCCTCGTTGAGGTCTTCTAGCCGTTCATGACGCTCAAGCTGCATTTGCAGGGGACATCCGAGACTACTCAGAGAGTCGGAGCGATCAAGGTGGCTTTCTGAATAAAGTGTCGTGGAAACACGATGAAGCGCAATGACTTTATCAACATCCTCTATCCAGTTATGTTGTTCAAATCGAACTCTCAAGGAGTTCGCAAGGTTATTCAGATACATAGAATGGTTAGGATGGCCTTTGGGAACAAGTTCCAGAGCAGCGCGGAGAAGCTCAATGGCCTCGTCGAGGTCGACTTCCCGACTTTGCTCTATAAATTGAAATCGAATCGCAAGGTTGCAAGCAAGACCATTCATGCATAAGGAACGAAGAGGATCGGTTTCGGATAAGAGTTCTAGGGCAGCACGTTCCAGTTCTATAGCTTCCTCGAGGTCCTCCATCCGTGAGTGCTGTCCAAATCGAGTGGACAAGCAGCTTGCGAGATTTTTTAGAAGCGAAGAACGATCAGGGTGAGCCTTGGGGAAGTACTCCAGAGAAGATCGGAGAAGCTCGATGGCCTCGTCGAGATCCTCTATCCGTCCTTTCTGTTTAAATCGCGTTATCAAGGAAACTGCAAGGTTGTTCATAGATGAGGAATGATCGGAATAGCCATCAGGACGACAGTCTAGGGCAGCACGGTTAAGCTCAATGGCTTCGTCTAGATCCACTATCTGGCCGAGCCGAGTAAATCGCTTAATTAGAGAAGCTGCCAGGTTGTTCAAATGTATGTAACAATCATGATGGCCTTCACGACAAACTTCCAGGGCAGCACGGTTAAGCGTGATGGCTTCGTTAAGGTCCTCTGTCCGTCCGTGCCAATTAAACCGAGTGAACAGGGAGATCGCAAGCTCTTTCAGAGATGAGGAATGATCTGAATGGCCTTTGGGGCAATGTTCCAGAGCTGCACGGTTTAGTGCAATGGTCTTTTCGAGGTCTTCGGAGTCTGTCTCTTTATGATGGTGCAGTTTAAATCGGGTTCTTAGGGAAGCTGCAAAATCATTCTGAAGTATGGAACGCCTAGGATGGTTTGTAGGGAGAATATCCAAAGCAGCACAGAAAAGCCCGATGGCCTCGTCTAAGTCCTCCACCCGTCCGTTCTGTTCAAATCTACTTTCCAGAGAACGTGCAAGGCCATGCAACAATGAAGACCAATAGAGATAGCGTTCTGGTTGAAGCTCCAGAGCGGGTGTGCGAAGCTTCAGAGAATCACGATAAAGTTCAATGGCCTTATCGAGGTCCCCTATTTGTTTATCTTGTCGAAATCGAGCCTCTAGGAGGCCTGCGAGATTACTAACACACCCGGAACGAAGATGGTGACCTTCTGGGAATAGTGCTAGAGCAGTAGAGTTAAGCTCTATGGCCTCAGAGAGGTCCTCTGTCTGTCTGTGCTGGTACAGTTCAGATCGCTTTCTCAAAGCCATTGCAAGGAACGTCTGAAACATGCCACGAAGGAAATGGTGTTCTGGAATAATTTCCAAGGCAGTACGAAAAACTTCGATGTCCTCTGGGTCGATATCTTCCATTTCTCCCCCTGGATTCATGCGCAGGCAGAGAGAAAGTCCTAGACTTCCGCATATCTTCGGGCGATCGGCATGTCCTCTAGGACGAAGTCCAAGCGCAATACGAGCATGGAAAATGGACGCGTCAAGTTCCTCCCGCTCTCCTGATCCCTTAAAGTGCTCCTGGTGTTTGAGGACTAGTTGATAGAGTCTATCGCAAATCAAATCGAGGTCCACCGAGTACTTCATGATGGCACGGAATCGTGTCGATGCTTGCCGATAAATCAAATTCCTTCCGATTGATCTGCGTGTTTAGTGAGAAGGAAGGAAAGCAAGCTACAAGATATGCATTACCTGAAACGCCCTTTGGCCTTGAAGCTTTCTCGTTTTGACGGTCGTCGCCTCCACAAAGTGTTTCTCCCTGTAAAACTAGAAAGCTTTTGTTTCGCTATCAATTGTCTGTGTCAAACTTTATGCAACCAACAGACTGACCTGTGAGAAATGGGTCAGTACAGGGGTCAATACCTGTAGGTGCTGGAACCGTGACTCGAGTCTTGGGTACAGTGCCAGGATTGGGGGTGGAAGGCGAGCACTAATATACTTTACTGGACATGCTGGGAACACGTTGAAGCTGTGTTCATAGATTGACGCTGAGATCAAGATGTAAATAAATGGGACGGGTGTGTATTCTGTTGCCTATTTGACTAAATGTAATGCAGTAGCACTACAGTCCTTTGCTCTACGTGATGTTGTAAAATATGGAGAAGGATTGCATTGCCACAGACACATAAAAGAGAACGAGAGCAGTTTTTTTGGATGAGGCACATGGATGAGACTCAAGCTCTAAATAGTCCTAGACAACATTATGCCATAAGAGGGCAGTTTGTCCTCACGCCATGCAAATTCCCACTTGGCCAAAGGCATTCTCTGATTTTGCAGTTTCTATTTCTATTTCTACAACATTGTTGTATTAGGAAGAGGAATGCAGTTTCTCTATCTACAAAACAGCTAAATACGACACTTGATGCAATTTCATAACTAAATCAAGCACATGAACTAAGTTGACCCATCTCAGTATGATTTTGCACAACCCCTTTGTAGTGCTCCGCGCGTAGCGTATACGCTTACACGCGTAAAATTTCCCATGTATACGCATACGCACATATAATTACGGGCATAAACTGGGTCAGCAGGACCCATATACGATACGCTACTTCCGTATACAGCATATACAGTGTATATGCTGTGCCAAATATAACAAGATACTTTACATTAAAATAGCTCATAAAAGTACACTATCATCTTTCAAAACAAATGCTTGATATTACTGAGCTAAGAAAATGTATTGTAGTACTGTTTACACACAGAAATAAGACAGTTGAGTGTTGTGAGTTACTGCCTTTTTCATAAGTATTGTCACACTTGATGATTCATCATTTTGTGTTACAAAAGTAAACAAAACAAAAAAATAACTATTTCTCACTCAATTCTGCACAGAATTCAGTGATTATTTGACATAAATTCATGTTTTTTAAATATGCTTCAAATAGACACTTTAATTATTAAATTTGAGCAAGATTTGACTGAGTTATAGTGAAAATACACTGTTTTCAT